GTCGCCGTCGGGCTCGGCGGGTTCGTCGCGCTGTCGTCCTCGGACGCGGTGCGGTAAGCGGTGCTGGCGGTCGACGAGTCCGAGACCCCTCGCGAGCCGTGGCCGCCGCGAGACTCGCTCGGCCCGTCGCGGCGAGTGCGCTCAGCGGCGGGATCGATGGTGGATGGCTCGGCAAAAACGGGCTGATGTGCAGGTGCGCCGTCGTTGCCGTTCTGGCCTCCACCGACGCCGCCAAAGTCGCCGAAGTTGGTCGTGTAGGCCCGACGAGGCACGGGCACCTTTGGCGGCACCATGTGCCCGGCCGGGGACGCAGAGTCGTGCGGATGCCCGTTCTGGTCTGCCGAGCCGCGGACGGCCTGGAAGGCGGAGGAGGCGAGACCCGGCTGCTTGTTGCCGGTGATGTAGTCGGCCTCGAGGGGCGGCGAGGGAGGCAGCTCGCCCACCATGGGATGATGTCGCGGAGGGGCCGTGAAGCTGTTCTGCTGCGTCAAGGACGGCGGCTCGACAGCGGCAGACTTTTCGTTGGCCACGGGCTCGTCGTCGTTGGCGACCGGGGCGGCGGTGACAAGAGACGAGGCCGCGGCGCTCTGGCCATAGCCGCGCTTGCTGACGAGCTGGGGCAGCCTCAGGATGCGATGCCCCGTCGAACCGCTGCTCTGGTGGCCCGGGACGTTGGCGTTTGGAGGGGTCCCGGTCCTCGAGACGAGCGGCGAGGCATAGGGAGCGGAGCGTGAGAGGGTCAGGTCGTAGGTCTCGCGCGAGGTCGAGTCGTTGACACGGATCTGCTGCTCCTCTCGACCCAGGGCCAGCCGGATCGAGTTGAGCGTCTCAGCATCGGAAGCGTGCATCAACATGGCCGGATGTCGTGGCGCGGTGGGTCTGCGTGAGGCGACGAGGTGGACTGGTGGGTAGGAGGTGCTCTGCCTAGATGACTGCCGCGGGGCATGGGCAATGTCGACGTCCCAACAGTCGGCGGATCAGTCGAGACAGCGCAACAAGGCTCCTGAGTTGGCTGGATCAGAGGCTGTAGGGATTTGATGCTGGTGATGGAGGAGCGGATCGGTCCGTGGCTGGAAGTGAAGAAGGAAGACTGAGCTGCGCGAGACGTTTGGGCCAGGAGAGTCGGCGATGGTGGGTTCGAGCAGCTCAGTCCGATGTGCCAGACACGGAGAGCGACAGGCGGGGTCGGATGGTCGACCTAGCTGGTGGGGAATCGGCAGTGATGGCGGCAGAGTGGTGCCGCTGTGAAGGTAGAGCCCAGGCTGCTCGCTGGGACGGTCGCGGGCTGATTCGAAGGCTGTGCCGTGTGCCGCGCGATCTGCCGAGCGCCTGAGCGATCGAGATGGGCGCAGAGGAAGCCGGGTGCTGGAAGCGTTCCGGTGCTGTGAAGGGCGAGGCGGGTGCTGTAGTAAGGAAGGTGGCAGTGATGGTGTTGATGGCGATGGCGATGGCGATGGCGATGGAGGTGGTGGTCGTGGGGATGCGAAGGCGGGCCTGGAACGGCCCGCGAAAGTTTGACATGAGCGAGGGGCGGTGACGATGACCGGCCAGCCCTCGGTCCAGCGAGCGTTGGAGCGGGGCTGGCAGCCTGGTGGGGCTGATGGGCTGGCAGACCAGCGGACGGGGTGAAGCCTAGCCTGGCCTAGCCTGCTGGCCCTGCCCAGCATCACACACGCACCGCACGCACGCAACTGCACGCAACCAGCAGCAAACGCAGGGCAGGGCAGGGCAGGGCAGGGCAGGGCAGGGCAGGGCAGGGCAGCCCAGCGCACGCACGGAAAGAGGGGCCGAGGCAGACTGCGTCGATGGATGCGTACACTTCCAGAAGCCTAGAGGGCCCCAGCCGACGCAGCTCTATTTTCCGCCCCCCCCTCGTCGGCCATGACCTGACTCTGACCTCCTGCTGGCTAGCCGCGGGTTTGCCGTGCGTGCGTTCATGTGAATCCAGCCAAAAGGGCCTCAAAAATTCCAAGCTGAATTCACAGCCTGCCTGTCACACGGGCCCACCGGCCGGCCTGGCCAGGGCTGGGGTCGCAGGCCAAGCAACACACGCCGCCCCCCCCCCGGGACGGTGGCTGCACCGCGATGGGCTGGACGGTACGATGTCGGCGACGACGAGCGAGAATGCCAGATCGACAGAGAGAGTGCAGCGCAGCGCAGCGCAGTGCACGCCGTTCGACGTATGACCTGCTCCATCCTCGCCCGGTGCACCGTCGAGGGACAGGGCGCGGAGAGCGAGGAGCTTAACCAACACGAGGCTAGAGGCAAGCCCAGGCCAAGAACAAATGCAGATGGGGTCGAGAGCAGCGCAGCATGCTGGCGCTCCATCCAGCCCGCCCACCCGCGGTGCTGAGCCGGGCTGCGGACGACGTGGCTCGGCGACGCATCGCGGCCCGACGACCGATCTTGGCCTGCCTTCCCTTGCCTTGCCTTGCCTGCTTCTTGCTCGGGCGCGGGATCATCACACGTACGACGTGCGACTTCCATCGCAGGCCTCTCCGCTTCCATCACAGTAGCCCAAAAGAGGAGGAGAAGGTGACAGCAGGTGTGCTTCCATCGTGCCTCGGCCCGGGCCGGTTGCCGCGAGCCTCGCACATGTCTCTCTGCCTTCCCCGCGTTGCCAGCGTGCGCGGCCTGAGACACGACGACGACGCCGCCGTCATACGAGCCAGCAGGTCGAGGCCAAGCAAGCAAGAAAGCATGCGCGCACTCACACTTAGACTAAGCACAAAGGGCCGTTTGCACGGCACAATCGCTGCGCTGCCAGCAGCTCTCTCATGACCTCAGGCTTACGAGTGATCCCGCCGAGCAGAAGCAGGAGATCACATACGGTAACCCGCTGGCGGCGAGCGGCCACGACCGAGGTCAGGCAGGATGGAAGGGCGATGAGATCGTCCCGCTGCGTTCCCCCACCTCCGACGCCGGCTGGCCGACCCATCCGGATCGCCGTCGGCGTCGTCTTTTTGCTTCTCGATCTCGTCCTGCCTCTGCACCGGGCCCCTGAGCAGGCCGACGTACGGCAGCCCTTGTTTGGAAGGTCGACTGCATGACCGACGGCGGCCAAGCGAAGGCAGGCAGGGAAAGGTGAGCCTTGCTTGCTTGCTTAGTTTCTCGACTGCCGGCAGAAGAGAAAAAAACAAGGGACCAGGCAACCGGCAATTGAGGCGCTCCTCGCTCTTGGCACCGACCAGGAGCATCGCAACCGCAGCGGCGTCAGCGACCGCAAGGCAAGGCAAGGCAACCGTGGGTAGGGCGGCTGTGCGGCGACGCTGCTCGGCGACCTAGACGGCCTCTTTCAACCTGCGCATTCAGAGAGGCAGGGGCGCGATATTGATGCTGAGCCAGGCTTCCTTTCACTACTTTGCACATCGAGCACCACCGGACGGCCTGCAGGGACAAAAGGGGCAACGTATACGTAGAATCGACGAGCACCGTGCGCCGGGGCGTCAACCCGCGGGCGAGAGAATGACCGAGCGATGATGCGCAGCACGACGCTAGGCAACGCACATGCCGCGTCACTGTCGGAAAGGCACCATGGTCCCGCCCGATACGATGCTGGCCACTTTCAACGCACACATGTAGCCGGAGCGGTGGCGAGGCACTGATCGAGTGACGGTCAGCGCAGGCTTCGCGAGGCGCTGCGAGCGGGTCGAGGACAGGCAAGCAAGCGCTATCGTGGCTTGCAGGTGAAAGCGGCACAAGTGAGAAAGCCAGGACGGAGTGTCTAGCCCTCGTCCTCGTCTTCGTCGTCGTACCCCTCGTCGTCGTCGCCGTCGCCCTCTCGGTCATCCTCGTCCCCTCCGCCCTCGTCCTCGTCGTCGACAAACTCGTCTTCCGAGTCGCCCTCCTCGTCCTCGAGCTGCAGCATCAAGTCCCTCGTCGCCTTGTTCTGCGTCCAGTCACGGCCCGATTCGAGAATGAGGCCCTGCAGCGCCGGGCACGAGACGGGCGCGGGAGCCGGCGCACAGATGTCAGCGGCTTGACAGTGAATCTTGTCGCTGGAAACACGGGAGAGGCACACTCACCCTGAGGACTCCCTTGACCATCTCTTTCTTGGCCTGAGTCTCGACCAGAGCCGCCTGCGATCGCTGAATTCTAGCCGCCATCCCTGGATCGCCAGACGAGCTGCTGCTCTGTGTTCGTTCGACACCGGACTTGGTCTGCGATTGCGTTTGGACGCGGTGCTCGACGAGGTCCTTTCGCGTCGACTTGATCTGCCCGAGCAGCCGGGCGGTCTCCTCCCTCGTGCCTGTAGTCGATGAGAGCGAGCGTTTGTCAAAGTCAGGATGGATCGATCAGCAAGCAGGTCCGGCAGCGATGGGAGCAGCGGCCGGCGGAGCCCTTACGTACCGAGTATCTGAGCTTTTATGTCGAAGCGCTTCTCGCGGACCTCTTTGAGCTCTTCAAAGATGCGCAGGAACTCGAGCGCCTTGTCGTCCCGCTGGTCGAGGAGCTCGCGCGTCGTTAGGTAGGTCGAGTCCATCGCCTTGTCCGCCTGCCCCTCGGCCTCTGCGCCTTCGCTCCTTGGGCCCCGCTCTTGCTTCTGCACAGGCACCGTGTTGGACATGGCCGAGACGACTGTCAGGCCGTTCTCGACGCTGCGAGAGCGCAGAATGCGGGCGGATACAGAGCATCGATCAGCATGCTTGACGGACACAGAAGCTTGGGCGCTCTCGGATGAAGCGTGAGGCGGTCTGCTCACCTAGTGGCAATCTCGCGTCTGAGCCAGTCGGCGCGCCGGAGCTCGTTGAGCTGCTCCCGCCGCTGCCGCAGGGTGCCGTCGAGCTGCTGGTCGTCAAGGTCCGACGCCTTCGAGTGCGATGTCGAGGCCTTTGCGCCGCCTCTGTAGTGGTGTTCCCAGAAGTCGATGTCGCGCTGGCGGGCCTCGAGCTGGTGCCTTCTGCGCTGTACCTCGTGGATGAGGGCGCGCTCGAGGGGCGTCAGTGCCGCCGCGGCGGGTGGTCCCGACGGGGGAGGCTGTGCAATCGGCCCGGCCGCAGATGCTGCCAGGCCACGGAGGGCTTTGAGGCGCGTCGAAGGGTCGGAGGTGCCGCCCTGCTGCTGCTCGCCGCCATCGGTGCCGGCGCGATCCCGATCCGTGCTGGTCTGCAGCTCGAGGTGGCGGTCAATGAGGGCGACAAAGCTGTCGAGCACAACGGCGCTCGTCATGTCGATTGCTGGTAGGCGGGGTGATGTCGGAGCGTCGATACACGTGTGCTAGGTTGAAGGAGGTAAGGATGTCCGACTCGGATGGAGCGACGGGATGCCAAGGGGATATGAAGAACACGATGCAGGTCGAGTGCGAGTCCAACACCGCCTGCCAGGCCTGCCCACGACGCGTTTGGAACGTGCTCGCGTTGGGCCCAGAGAGCGGTCTCTGTGGAGAAAACCAGCGAGTCGCAGCCAAAACGGCGGCGACTGACCCGGAATTCGGAAGATGGGCCCAGCCAGAGCCAGCCGACCAGCCTGAGCTTCTCCACGCACGCCCAGCTGGCGAGACGGTGGGGCCACTTTGGTCAGACGCCTCTGGACCTGCGCCAGCCAGAAGGGCACTCGAGGCTCGTCCTCGACCTTCTCCCCTTTCCGCATCGCTCTCTCCGTGTCCTTTCCCAGCCAGCCTCATCACAAACTGCCGCTCCTGGTCGCTGCGGTCGCTGCTACTGCCACTGCCGCCTTGACTAGCCACCCAGTGGACTGGACCCGTACATCTCGGACTGTCATTGGACTTCAACGCCCCCGCTGCGTCGGTAGCAGACGGGCCACGGCCACCGCCTGCCCTCACCGCAAGACAAGATGTCGGCCCTGATGATGCGAGCCGCAGTCGACGCCATGGCTGGACCCACCTCGATGCTGTCTGGGCCTGCAACGCCAACCGCGTCGCTCAGCTCCACCGCCTCGGCCTCAGCCTCGGCCTCGCCCCTGCCAGCGCCCGACGCCGAGCAGCTGGAACGCTTCTCGTCGCTCGCCATCTTCCTCGTCCTCACCCTCCTCATCCTCTCGTTCTGCACGTCCTACTACCTCAGGGTCAAGCGCATCACCGCGGTCCACGAGACCATCGTCGGCCTGTTCGCCGGCATGTTTGTCGGCCTCTGCCTCCGCGTCGGCCCGGGCGAGCAGGTGCAAAAGATGCTCAGCTTCAGCAACACCATCATGCTCAACGTCCTCCTACCGCCCATCATCCTCGCCAGCGGATACGATCTCAGGCAGGAAAACTTCTTTCGCAACTTTGGAACCATCCTGATATTCGCCTTCGCCGGCACCTTTATCAGCGCCGTCGTCGTAGGGTGAGTCGACGGCAGGGGGAAGAGGGTTCTCGCTAAGAGGGGGAGAGAGAGAAGGGGTCCGCCTACAACCGTAGACACACATCGCTGATCCTCTGCCGCATCCTCGCCCTGCAGCGTCATCGTCTACATCTGGTCGCTGCTCCATCTCGAGTCGATCTCGCTCTCGCTCCTCGAGTGCCTCATTTTCGGCTCGACGCTCAGCGCCACGGATCCCGTCACCATCCTGGCCATCTTCAACACGTACAAGGTCGACCCCAAGCTCTACTCGATCATCTTTGGCGAGAGCCTGCTCAATGATGCCGTGTCGATCGTCATGTTTGAGTGAGTCGGCCGCGCGCGCTGTGGACCGAGCGAGGAAGAGAGAGTCAAGCTGACCCTGTGTCTGGATCCTGTCCGATCGCCTCGCCCCGCCCGCCAGCACCCTCAACACGTTCCGCGGCAAGGAGATCTTCATCTCCTCGATCTTCCACGGAGTCGGTCTCTTCCTCTTCGTCTTCACGTTCTCGATGCTGCTCGGCGTCTGCTTCGGGCTCGGCTGCTCGCTGCTGCTCAAGCACTCGCGCCTCAGCTCGTACCCGCAGCTCGAGACCTGCCTCATCGCCCTGATCGCCTACACCAGCTACTTTTTCAGCAACGGCGTCACCATGAGCGGCATCGTCTCTCTCCTCTTCTGCGGCATCACGCTCAAGCACTACGCCTACCACAACATGTCGCGAAGGACGCAGCGAGCGACGCGGTACACCTTCCAGACGCTGGCCAACGTGAGTGACAAGCTCGTCTGCGATCCTTGCCAGAGACAACTGCATCTTGCTCGACCCCGCTAACGACCTCGAATGCTTCGCCCTTCTCTTCTCGTCGCCCGCAACTCCGAACAGCTTTCCGAAAACTTCATCTTCATCTACCTCGGTCTCAGCCTCTTCACCCAGGAGATCCTCGTCTACAAGCCGCTCTTTATCATCGTCACGGTGCTGGCCGTCGTCGTGTCGCGCTACTGCGCCGTCTTCCCGATCGCCAGCGCCATCAACGGGATCAAGCGGGCGCGCAACCGGCGCCGAGCCTCGCGGGTGGGCGGAGGAGGCCCGCCGCGATCCAACGGCAGCGACGAGGAGCTGCCGAGGGAGTACCAGATGATGCTCTTCTGGGCGGGCCTGCGCGGCGCCGTCGGCTTCGCGCTGTCGGCGAGCATCGAGGGCCAGAATGCCATCGCGCTGCAGACGACGGTGCTCGTCGCCGTCGTCATCACGGTCATCGTGTTTGGAGGCACGACGGCGCAGATGCTCGAGATCCTCGGCATCCGCACGGGCGTCCAGGACGACGAGGGCGACTCGGACGACGAAGAGGACGAGGACGACGCGATGCGACTCCGCGGCGTCCGCAGGCGCTCGGAGTACATGGACTCGAACGGCATCCGCCACCGCAGCGGCAGCTCGCGAAGCGGAGCGGGGTCAGCAGGCGGAGCCGGATTGCGGTCCGACGGGCCAGGCTCGGCCAAGTGGAAGACGGGCAGCACCGCCAACCTGGCGCGAGGCTATCGGGACGGCAGCGAGGCGTCCAGCCCGCGTCACTCGTTTGGCGGCGGCCGGTCCGGCACGACGGCCCGCAGCGCAAGAGGTTTCGGCGACGACCTGCCGCAGGACGACGAAGACGACAGCATCGTCGACCATCTCACCTCGCTGTCGCCGGATCGACTGCCCTCGCGCAGCAGCACACCAGGCCTGGGACGGGGCGGCTCATCGCTGCGACCGTCGCCGACGGTCAACACGACGTCGATTCCATCGCTGAGCGAGATTCGCAAGGCCGTCATGGATCTGAGCAGCGGCCACGGCGATGGCAACGAGGGCTCGACGGCGGCGGGTGGGGTGAGCTCTTCGCCCGCCAAGCAGCTGCTGGACCGGGCCGGTCTGGTGATGAAGGACGGCCAGTGGTTCCAGACCATCGACCAAAAGTACCTGCTGCCCCTCTTTAGCAACTCGGTGGCATCGAGGCGGCACGAGGAGAAAAAGGTGGCCAGGTTGGCGGCGCGCGGTACGTGGCGCGGGTTCGGCGAGGCCGGCGAGCTCGACGGCATGGAAGGATCCTCGGGTGACTGGGCAGAGGGAGGCGCCGACGAAGCCGACATGTACCCCGCCGAACGGGATGCCGAGATCGTCGACGACGACGACGACGACGAAGATGAGGAGGGGGCAGGGGGTGAGGTCGTCTTCGATGCGAGCGGCTACAATGGCAGGCCGAGCTCCAGCGGCCAGCAGACGCCCGTCAGGAGGACGTTGAGCAAGGACGCCGATGGCTTCGCCCACCTGCGATCGGCAGGCGCAGCAGGAGGCAGCGGCGGTGGCCTCTAAAAGCCCGAAGAGACCCGGCGCCGCAGCTGGTTGCTCTGTGGCCTCCGCCTGCCATCTGACATTGCTTCATCGACTTCCCCCTGTACTTCTATCTGCCCACTGACATCCACCATCTGCCGCGCTGTCCGTCAGACCCTCTCCCCCTCGCCCGCTCGTCGATATTCGGGCTCAGCTGAGGTCGCCGCCCATCCAGGCAAAGACGAGGAAGGCGACACCGTACGGCGTCGCGAGCCTCTTCAACGCCCAGGCCACACGGCCGTGGCCCCAGTTCCTCACGCCGTTCTTCAACACGCTGCCAGATGGAGCAGCACCGGCACCGGTACCGGTACCGGCGCTGGCGTTGGCGGTGGAGGGACGAAGTGACCCGCCGGAGCTGGAAGAGGACGCCGCCAGACTCGAGTTGACGGGGTTGTTGCGGATCCACGACTTGCGCAGCTTTTCCTCGGGCCTGAATGCGTCGCGGCGGCGCGAGGCGATCGACATGAGGAGCGTGCGCTGCGCCATGGTCGTAATCTGGGACGTGTCGATCGGGCCCCTCGCCTCTGACGCGTCCGAGGCGGCAGCGATGGTCCCGCGGCGCTGCCCCTGCTTGCCCCCGTCTTCGGCTTCAGAGGCGGCAAGGCCCCGCATCATCTCGTTGTCCACCATGGCGTGCGGTATCGCGGGCAGGAACGGCGCGACGAAGTAGGTGTGGTAGAGGAGCAGTGGCGTCGACGTCGTAGCCGGGTCCGGCCCGCCGAAGCGCTGGTCGACCTTGGCAATCTTCCGCGCGTGCTCGACCAGCAGCGAGAGCGAGCTCGGCCGTGTTGCCAGCGATGGCCGCGGCCGGAACGGCCTTTGCGGTGTCGGCGGCGTCGGCGTCGGTGTGGCCGAATCGTTTGGCTGCGTTGCGTTCTTTGATGGATCGTGCGACGATGCGGCGACGCCGCCGTGCTTGTGCGATCGAGACGTGGCGAGGCGTATCCGTGGCTTGGACGACGGGCGAGCGGATGCCCGTCTTTTGACGGCGGCAGTGCGGACCGGTGCGCCTGCCAGTCGTCTGGCGGCGGCGTTGACGAGCCTGAGCGGATGCGCCGGCCGGCGCAGCATCGTGTAGGTCGTCAGATGAGACGTGGTGGACCCGCCACTGTTCTGCGCACGCAGCGCGACGAGGTTGCCCAGCCTGCCGTTGGCGCCCAGACGGAACGCAGCCTGGGAGGCCGAGACTCGGCCACCGATGATGGCGGACCGGCCTCCCTGTGGCGCAAGGTCGACGTCGTCGATCGCAGCGGCCGCGCCTGCAGACCTCCGGCCGCGCGACGAGGTGCGGGCCGAGGCGTAGCGACGCTGTTCCTTGCGCATGTCCTGTTCCCACTCCTTCCTGCCTTCCCAGATGACCACGCGCATCAGCTCAAAGGGGCGGCCGACGAGCTCATATGAGAGGGCGCCAATCGCGCCGCCAATGAGGAGAATGATGACGGCCACCACTCTGCCCTGCACCGTCCTCGACTTGTTGTAGCTGAGGTCGGCATCCGTCACGTCGCGCTGGCCTTCGCGTATCCAATCCCGCATCGAGCCCTCGATGTGTACGTCTCCGTGGCCGTCGGAGCGCATCGGAGCGCCGGAGCCCTCGTCATCAAGGTCGTCCCCACTGCGTCGGACCCGGCCGAGGCCTCGAGCGTTGATCCAGGCAAACGCCTTGTCGATCGACGTCGACGAGTAGTAGGCGCAGCGGCGCGAGCACTCGAAGATGAAGAAGAAGCTGCCGAAGCCGACCGAGTCTCGTATGAGGGAGAGGAAGAGGCCGGAGCCGTGGATGCCGCCCCTCCAGCGCTTGAGGCGCGTCTCCCAGAGCTTCCGGGTCTCGGCCGCCGACATCTTCTGGCCACGGGCGTCGTTGGCCTTGGTCTCGGAAGCAGCGGCGGCCTTGTGCATATCGGCGACGAGCTTGTCGCGCGCCACGGCGGGTGCAAAGGGGAGCACGGCGGCACGCAGCACCGCCCTCCAGGAGATCTCCTTGATTTGTCGTGGGACCGACCTGTGTACCTTGTTGGCCGCGCCCGCCCCGACGTTGCGCTGGAGAATGTAGCGAACGTTGTCGAGAGGCGCCGAGAGAAAGCACTGCGCCGCGCCCGCCGCCGCACCCGACACGGTGACGATCCACAGGGGCGTCCATGTCGCGCCTTGGTCGTGGGTGGCAAGGGCCGGATCATCGCCGGACCCTGCGGCGTCATCTTCCCCGGCGTGCGGTGCTTGCTGGATCCTCTTCTTTCGGTCGCTGAGGAGCTTCGACTCTGTGAGCGAGTAGGCCTCGAAGAGGGTGAATCCGATGGCGGTGTTGACGAGCAAGGGCGGTCCGAGGAGGTGTGGCAGGAAGCTGCGGTTCTCTCTCTTGATGACGGAGCGGATGTAGCGGAGGCCAAAGGTGCGGCCCTCGCGCTTGGCCATGGCCTCGAGGATGGTCCAGCTGGAGAGCTTGACTGGCCGAAACAGGCGGACGGGCCGCTTGAAGAGAAAGGCGAGCGATCCGATCAGGGCCCGCACGATGGCGCCGCCGAGCGACTCGTGCCGCGTCGTCTCGCGGGCGCCATCCTTGCGCTTGGCCTTGCTCAGCGACCGCGACCGCTTCCGCGAGGTGGCATCGGCCCCTCCTTTCTGCTGGTCCGCGTCTGCGTCCTTGCCGCCGCCGCCGCTGCTGGTGCTGGTGCTGCTGGTGCTGGCTATCCGTTCGCCGTGGCCGTGGCTGCCGTCGTGGTTCCGACTGGTGGCAGCAGAAGCCGACGTCATCTCATGCCGTGCTCTTCCCGGAGAGACACGCGAGAGGAAAGTCCTGGGAAAGAGGTCAGGAGTGTCTAGGCCGAAGTGTCGGGATGAAGGCGAGGAGGTGTTGGTTTGAGAGATGTCCCGGCCGGACAAGGGGCTGCTGGACCCTCGGCAGTGGTCCGACCACCGCTCAAATTCCGCGCCAGAGGCCTGCTTGCGGGCGGCTGGCTGGCTGGTGGGCTGGCCAGTGCCCCCGGCCAGGTAGGGGTCGCCTGGCCTGGCCTGGCGGAGAGGCACGATGACGATGTCTCAGGCGTAGCCAGGCGGCGGGTTTTGCCTTCGGGGGACCAGCCGGACCCTAGCCTGGCCACCTCCGCTCGCCTCGACTTAGCTTGCCCTGCCTCGCCGGGCTTGCCAGCTGCAGCCTGCGTCGCTTTGCCCAGCCGCTTCCACCACCACCATCATCATCACCACCACCAGCGCCAAGTCGCCTCGGGAAACCTCCGACACCCTACAGCCAGCCAGCCAGCCAGCCAGCTAGCCGACTCGTCGTAGCCATGCTGCGCCCCGCCGCTGGACTAGTAGTCAACCCTCGAGCGAGGCCTGTGGGTGGAGCCTTTGATCACCTTCGGTCCAGCCGTCTCTCGACCCCGCTGGCGACTGCAGCAGCAGCTGCGCGCCCCTCGTATCAGCACTCGAGCTCTTCGGCTCTTCCCGCCTCGTCGCCATGGCCTCGACGGATCTCGCCGCTGGCAGCGTCGACGACCGCGGACTCGCCCCGGTTCGCCTCTTCGACGGCGGCGGTCGAGGCGGCTGATCCCGATGCCGCGCGCGTCGAGGAGGATGCCAAGAGCGAGACGGACAACGATCCCTTCCGCAAGGTGGGCTACCTCTACTTTGACTCGGCCTTTCCGATCCGCCTTGGCTTCTGGGACGTGCGGTACATGCTCGCCCGCCTCGAGAAGCGCTCCACGCTCGATCGGATCAAGGCCAGCCTGCCCCCTTCGGACCAGGTCGGCCACGGCTTCAAAGTCATCGGTGCCGAGCAGCGCCAAAAGGACGGCGGCGCCTTCCTCACCTTTTCATACCGCGACGACGCCTCCGACGACGCCACCAGCACCGTCGACGACATCGAAAAAAACCTCCAGAAGGGCGTCAAGAAGGTCTTTAACCCCAGCATGCTCTTCATTGGCAAGCCGGGCGTCCACGTCGTGCGCGGCAAGCCCTTCAGGGAGGACATGAACATCTTCCCCGCCACCCGCCTCCACGTCAAGCTCGAGGGCGGCGATGCCAGCGAGGAGCAGCTGTGGGAGCTGCTGCGGCCCTACGGGCGCATCCTCTCCATCAACAAGGAGAAGCCCTCGGAGGCGCTCGTCACCTTTTCCAGGATGCGCGGCGCCACCGCCGCCCGCAACTGCGCCCACGGCTTCGTCCTCAGCAACGGCGCCAGGATGATCCTCACCTTCCGCAGCCACATGCGCGGCAAGCAGTTCTGGGAGTGGATCAGCAACCACCCCAAGATTGTCTTCCCCGTCGCAGCGTTCCTCCTCGGCGGTCTGACATACGTCATCTTTGACCCCATCCGCGAGTTTACCGTCGAGAGCAAGATCCGCAACACTTTCTCGCTCGATGGTGCGCACCCTCTTGACCCTCACGCCGCGGCAGTGGCGACCACGTCAGTGAGCCCTGATCTGATCCTGCTTGCCCTCCGCGTCCCTCGGCTCCTGCAGACTACCGCATCTACACCTGGCTCAAGGACAATACCGTCAGGCTGTTCAAGGACGACGGCCCAGCAGCGTCGAGCGAAGACGACTGGTGGGAGAGGAGAGAGGCCGCCGACAGCATTCAGGAATGGATCCGCGAGAAGCCTTCGACGTTCATCACAATCACTGGACCCCGCGGCTCGGGCAAGTCCAAGCTGCTCGGCAAGGCCATCACCAAGGACGTGCAGCACCTCGTCATCGTGAGTGGCGCGTCGCGGGAAGCCTTGGCATCTTCCTGGGCCGCATGCTCACCCCTGCTGGCCGCACATGATCTTCGCTCCCCCTTTTCCACCCTGCAGGACTGCGAGACCATCGCAAAGACGGCCAAGAACGACGCCACGCTCGTCTCCAGCCTGGCCTCCGAGACCGGCTACTGGCCTGTTTTCGGCTGGCTGAATAGCCTGAACAGCATCATTGACCTCGCCGCGGTGGGACTGATCGGATCCAAGGCCGGCTTCGCCACGCCCGTCGATGCGCAGCTCAAGCAGGTCCTCGGCGTCGTCGGCGCCGCGCTGAACCACCTCAACGAAGAGACCCAGCGCAAGCTGGAAAAGGCGAGGAAGCGCCAGGAGAAGGCCGACAGGCAGGCCGCCAAGGCCAAGCAGCACGAACCGCAGCCAGCGGTCCAGACGCCTTCGGAGAAGGTGCCCGCCCCCGGCTCGCCTGCGAGCTCGACTGACCAGTTGCTCGCCGAGCCGGACGAAGGACGACCCGACCAACCTCACCCATCCGTCCAGGTCCAGGACGGCGCAGGCGATGCGGAAAAGCCGTTGGCCTCCAGAAAGTCGTTTGACGTGCCCGTGGTCGTCATCCAGCACTACCACCACAAGGGCCTCAAGCAGGCCGTCATCCACAAGGTGCTGGCCGAGTGGGCCGCCGAGATGGTGACGAACGGCGTGGCGCACGTCGTCTTTGTCAGTGACAACCCGGTCTCGATGAGCAAGGAGCTGACCAGCGCGCTCCCGAGCCTGCCCTTCCAAAGTGAGTGGCGTCTGTCGTGGCCGCGTGGTGGGCCCCGGTTGATCTCTCGATCTGACCATTTGTGAACCCTCTGCTTTCCGCTCTCTGCCACCAGGCATTGCGCTCGCCGACGCCGACGAGGACAAGGCGAGATCGTACGTCTTCAACAAGCTCAAGGAGCTCGGCAGGCTGCCGGTCGCGCCCGAACCTGCCCAGACCGCCTCTCCGGCCAACAAGCTCGCGCTCCTCGGCCAGCAGCCTGCAGGTGCGAGTGCCGAGGGGCCCGCCTCTGCTGAGGGTGCAGCTCCGCCGCCGCCGGAAGCGAGCAGCTTCGACAGCGAGACGGCAGCCTGGGTCGACAAGCTGGGCGGCCGGCTGACGGACCTCGAGAACCTGGTGCAAAAAGTCAGCATCGGCCAGAGTGTCGAGGCGGCCGTCGAGGAAATCATCTCGCGCACCGTCGTCGAGCTGCGCAAGAACGCGTTTGGCGAGGACAGCACCGAGACCAAGCATCTGCCGTGGAAGGGGTCCCAGGCATGGAAGCTCATCAAGATCCTCGCCGACAAGGAAGAGGTCAACTACTACGGCCTGCTCCACGACTCGTTCAAGGGCGACGAGGCCGCGCTCAAGGCGCTCGAGGGCGCCGAGATTGTCTCGGTGCGCCACGTCAACGGCCGCCCCTCGACGATCCGAGCGGGCCGGCCGGTGCTGCGCGAGGCCATGAAGCGCATGGTCAAGGACCGCGTCTTCAACGACACGCAGACGCTGCTGGCCAACACGTCGTCGATCGACAGCGCCGAAAAGTCGATCCGGGCGCTCGAAGAGGAGATCCGCGACATTTCGACCATGATCCAGGGCAGCCCGTTCAAGGTGGCCGTCGGCGGAGGCAGCACAGGCGCCGTCGTCGACGAGGATCCGGCCCACCCTCCGCTCTCGCCTTCCGCGGCGGGCGGAGGCGGGTCGGGCATGTTTGGCAGCGGCCTGTTCGGGTCGAAGGCGTTGCCGCACGCATGGCCGCACGACCACCCGGCGCCGGTGGTTGTGGCGCCCATCAGCGCGACGGACGCGGCGCGGGCGCGGACCGAGTTCTTGATGAGCAAGATGGCGGCGCTCCAGTCGCAGATTTCCAAGCTCGACGCTGAAAACGCACGCATCCAGGCGCGGCTGATGCGGTATCGGGAAGAGGCGACGGCGCACTGATCGGCGTGTCGGTCGGCGTTGTTCCCATGCTTCGCCTGGCTCTTCCGCTCGCTCGCCCGCCATCTTCGGTCTTCCATGGAATGCTTCCCCTGTGCTCGTGACGAACTGTTGCTGCTGCTGCTGTATACCCGCCTTCCTACGGGCCCAAGCCCGATCCGAAGTCGATCCGCCTACCCTATTGGCGTGTCCATCACGTCTCCTGTATGTTGCTGTCAGAGAGAGAGAGAGGCAGGCTGCGGTCGTGTGATGCTGACCTCGACCTCTGGCGCTCCTAGCCTAGCCTGCTCCTCCGGCCTGGCCTAGCCTGTTGCAGGGCGGTAAGCAGGCGAGCAGGCGGGCAGGCGGGCAGGCGAGCGGCAGCTGCCACCCATGCTGACTGTACCCACACGTCCACGCGAGCCAAGCGGTGCGGTTTGGCCTGGCCTGCCCAACTTGACGTCAGTACGGAGGGGGGGCGTGGCGCCTGGCGCGGTTGAGCCGTGACGACAAAAAAAAAAACCCGATTTCCCCGAGGGTCGGCCAGCCGCGCCTACAGACCTTCCCGACTGGCCGCTCCGGCGACCAACTAGCGTAGCCCTTGCCTAGTGGCCTGCGTGGCCTGCCAGGTAGCCAAGCCGGCCTGCCTGCATCTCTGGCCAGTCAGGGTCCAGCCAGCCAGGGAGGGAGGCAGGGGGTCGCTCGGTGACTTACGGCGGCGGTACTGGGCCCTGGTCCTGCCTTCCGCCGCCTGCCGAGCCTAGCTTGCCTCCACCTGGCCTGCCTGCCCATGTCAAGAGAAGGCCCCGGTAGCATGTGAGGATGACTCAAGGTTGATCTCGTTCCACGACATTTCCTTCTCTTCTCTCGATGTCATCCTCACAGCTCGCACGTCCAAAGACGCTTCGACGGTAGCGTACCGTTAGCTCAGGCAAGAGTCGATGTCATACAGTACCGACCGTAACACCGTCCCCCCCTTCCCCTCCCCCCAGCCGCGGCCAGACTGGGCCTGATCGACGCAGCCTGGGCCAGGGCGCGTTCTGCGACTTTCTTTGCACCGTGACGTCGGTCCGCCCACAGACGCCCTCGCCGTGCGCAGATCCAGCTTCCGGCTTGACAAGCGGAGCGGAGTTGATCTGGGCTCGCCAAGCCTCGGCGGCCCCAGACGGCCTGGTATATAAACCGTCGACGGTCGAGGCGGCAAAAGTTGGACGGCACCATTCCTTCCACGTCTCCCACGACTTCACCATCTTTCATCGCCGATCACGGTACCGCCCCATCTCAACGTCTCTTCAACAATGACCCGAGCTGAAGTCGCACCTTCGTCCGTTGTACGTCTCGCCGCAGCGGCCACGTCGTTCTAGATCCGACTCAAGTCAGACCGGAGCTCTTGCTGATCCTTTTTCCTCCCCTCTTCTTCTCTCGTCAACCCCACCTCGCCGTCAAACAGGCCGAAGCGCAGCGCGACAAGCACTCTCGCACGCTGCCGGGCCCGGCATCGGGACCCAACAAGGACGGCGCTTCCGCGCCGGACGGAGCCTCTGCGCTGGGCAACGAGCTGGGCGGCGAGCGCGATGCGCGCCGCGAGCTGGCCGCCGCACGCCGCGAGGGCGAAGACGTGCCCCCTCCGCCCGCGTCCAACACGGCGTCGGACCTCGGCTTTGGCCAGCTCAACGGCGCCGAGCAGGGCGTCGCCACGCCGGGCGCCGAGAAGCGCGACCAGATGCAGACGTCGCGCAACTCGGAAATGCACAAGGACCAGCCTGACCTGCGCAAGATTGCCCAGTCGAGCAGCGCCTCGGCCGCCCACAACCCCACCACGGGTTCCGCCCAGCTCCACTCGACGGGACACAGCAGGCCCGAGGACCTCCTCGACACCGTCCAGAGGAGCACCGGCACCGAGAGCGGTACCGGCGCCGCGGGCGCAAAGAGCGGCGCTGGCGTCGAGGTCGGTCGCGACGCGGCTACCAACAACGTCGTCTGAGTCGCATCGATACCCGCCTCCCACCGACCCTCGCGAGTCTGATCCAGCCCATGTAGCATAGCTCGTTTCACTCTCATTCCCTCGCAAACTTGTGCGAAGCCACATTCGCCCAGCGCAGCTCCAGACGGGGGCAGAGGGACAAAGGCACGTGTGATACTTTGCTGCACACCACGCTACAGGCCCGCTCTCCGGCTCCTCGTCGTTGTCGTGGCACCGACGCCACCGCTTCGAGTGCCCGAGACGCGGAAAGAGAGGAGCTGGTTCTGGCGCTGGAAGAGGACCTTTTGGCGCTGCACAAACACCGTGATGGCCACGACGGCAATCACGGCCGTCGACATCTGTGCGCGCGAAGGATGGCGTTGCGGCGGCGGAAGGGATAAAGGGGAGAGCGCGGTCGGTTGTCGTCAGTCTCGGAGGTGGCTGGCCACCGAAGTTGTGCCGTGTTCCGACGAGGACGTGGGTGAGTAAAGAGGAGGAGGAGGGAGGGGGGGGAGGGGGGTACGCACGACAAACTCCAAAAAGTCCCGCGCCTCGTCCTGCACGACCTTGCCGCACGACTCGTACGCCCGTATCGTCGTCGTCGCTGCTGAGCCGGCCGACGGCGCAGATGCGGATGTGCAGACGAGTGGTTGGCGGTTGCCGTACGGTCTGCAGTATGGGAGGTGGCGCTGTAGGTAGACGGTCGCAGGAACGAGGGGTATCAGCGTCGTCCAGGTCGATCCTGCGATGGACGATGGGAGGGGAGGGGTGCGATCCAGCCGAGCCAGTGTAGCAAGGGCAGGGGCGGACTCACGGCATCATCCGGACACTTCTGACATGCGCCCGCTGGGGTACACTTCCATGTCGCCTCGCCCCCCTCTCCCTTTCCCTTCGCCTTCCCTGGGACGCCCACATCGACGACGGGCGTCGTACCACCCGGAACGGAGGGAGCGACGGCCGAGGAGGAGGAGGAGGAGGAGGAGGAGGAGGAGGCAGCAGCACGGAGGCCGCTCCAGAGTGGCCATTCGCCCTCGTACCCTTTCACTTTGACGCCCTCGGCCTTGCCATCGCCCAGACGGAACGGTTGCGATTCCGACAGAGGTCGCCACCCCGTCCCGAATGCGTGCACCCGCCCGCCGCCGCCGCCGATGAGGCAGTGTAGTATCGTACTCCATACCAGCAGAGGCAGCAATGGAGGCGTGGAGGTACACCGTGTCATCGTAGGTCGTAAGTCGATCCTGCGGCTGTGTCTGTTGATGTGTCTGTTGATGAGGCAAGGTCGATGTCGGATCGTAAAGATGCTGGTGGATGCTGGTGGGTGGTGGTGGTGGTGGTGGTGGCGAGAGGCACGACGAGAGGCCGTGCGGCTGCTGGCTGCGAGCCAGGCCTTCTGGATTCCTCCACCTTTTTTTCAACAGGCAGGGTCCAGCCTGGCTGGCTCCCCGGCCTTCCCTTGCTCGCACGCGCCCACGCTGCTTGCCCCCGTCGAGTCTCGTTGGGCCCAGCTCGCGCGGCAGCGATCAAGGCCCTCCCACGCAGAGTCCGAGTCGCGAAAACGACGAGACGATGGCCATTCAATCCGGATCCTATCCGCCAAGTCTCCTATCTACGAAACAAGCGCAACGACCCAGGGCCGGGATGACGACGACGACGACGACGACGACGACTCGCTCAGGCGCTCTTCCTGTGCTCGGGATCGTGGAAGATGTCGTAGTCGACGTGGATAAAGGCGCGCTCCACCATGGGCAGGTGCTCGAGGTTGTCCTGGAGCAGCTGCGACACGTCGTGGCTCTTCCACAGCGGCGTCTCGGGGTGCATGACAATGTCAATCTCGACAATGTACCGCGGGCCCGACGAGTAGGCGCGCACGCTCTCAATCGCCTGGATCTCGTCGGAAAAGATCGCCGCATTGTACGTCACCAGCTGCAGAAAGTCGGTCGGCGCCGCGGCGCCCGCCAGCTGCTTGAATTCGAGGTACGCCGTGCGCGTCCAGCTCGTGATGATGGCCAGCGAGATGACGAGCGCGCCCGCCGGGTCGAGCCAGCCGGCAATCGTGGCGCCCGCCGCCGAGGTAAAGATGCCGAAACCGTTGATGAAGAGGTCGTTGCGGTGGTCCTGGTAGAGGACCTCGACCTGCGAGCTGTACTTGCGCAGGCCAAAGCAGTAGACGGCCAGCACCAGCTTGGTGAAGAACGCCACGGCGACGGCCACGAGGGCGGGGATGTGGAGCTGGCGGTCGTCCTCGCCCTTGGCCAGATCCTGGATCGACTGGACGACGAGGATGGCCGACACCATGCCCATGATGGCGGCGTAGGTGATGTTGCCGATGGGCTCGAACCTCGAGCCGCCGATGGGCCACTTGCGCTCGTCGACCTTGGCGGCCTTGCGGTGGAGCCAGTTGAGGACGAGGTTGGCAAAGGGGTCAAACACGCTGTCGGCGGCCGTGGCAAACAGCGAGAGCGAGAGCGACGAGATGGCGGCGTAGAGCTGGAGGATGGCGAGCACAAAGTTGGCGACGATGCTGCCGTACACGGCCACCTTGACCTTGAGCGCCGACGAGGCGCGGTCCTCTGCGTCGTCGTCGCCGTGCTTGGCCATTGGCTTGAGCAGCCGGTTGATGTGCTCGTTTTGCGCGCTGTAGAAGTTGCGCACCATCTTTTCGGCCTTGCGCCCGCGCCCCTTGCCCGAGTGGCGGCGCCGGATCTCGTGGTCCTCGACCAGGCGCGAGCGCAGCAGCAGCGGGTCCGTTTCCTCCATCGAGACCCCGCGGTAGCTCGAGTTGACGCGGGTGGGCGGGTAGGCGGCGAACGACCCGCCGTTGGACGCGTCGGGGAACTGGAGGTGGCCCGAGGAGTTGGCGGCCGGATGCTGCGACGACGACGAAGTCGCTGCTGCGGCGGCCTGGGACGCGGAAAAGGCAGCCGAGGTGCTGGGACCGACGCTGACATCGAGGGCGATTTCGTCGGTGGTGGCCGGGGTGGCAGGGGCGGCGTTGGTCGAGGGGAGCTGGAGGCTGGAGATGGGGTGCGGAGGCGCCGCGCTCCTTCAGGGGCGAATTTGCGCGCGGGGCGGCTGCGGCTGCGGGTTCGGGTGCCATGAGCTCAATGTCGCGGTCGTCGGCGGACGAGAGGGGCGGCGATAGGCCAGGCTGGTGCGAGTCGGTGGCGGCATCGGCGCTGGCGTTGCTGATCCTCTGTGCCGCGACCGACACGGCCGAGGAGAGGATGTGCGACATGGGCGGGGAGGTGGGATGGGGCGATGGAAAAGACGATGGCGGTGGGGGAGCCGTGTGGACCAGAGGTGGTGGTAGCTGGCAAGGAGAGGGAGGAGGAGGAGGAGGAGGGGAAAAGCAGAGAATGGTGACGCCAGGCAGGCCACCAGGCCAGGCCGGCTATGTTGGGTGGCGTGGGGGAATGCGAGCCGCCTTGCTATTGGCTTTGGCTCGAGCTCGAAAAAAGCAACGTTCAGCGGCAGGGGCCAGCCCAAGGAAGCCATGCCAGCACCGCCTTGGCCCTGGCCTGCTTCTTGCTTGCCCTCTGGACCCCGCGGCAGAGCCATGGCTGGCTGTTGACCGGCCAGGGCCCCGCGGCCGGCGTCTATTCTGGTGAGCGACCCTAGGCCTTTGGCGTGCTTGCGTTTTTGTTTTTTCCGAACTTCGTGAGCGGGGCAAAAGACGACCGCACAGACCCCTTTTTTTCTGATCTGCTGCTGCTGCTGCTGGCAGCTGGCAACCGACGGGGTGCGAAGAGCGCGCGAGGTTGAAGGCGAGGTGGCACGTTGAGGGCTTGGCACTGGGCACTTTGCACTTGCATGCACCTACAGCTGCAGCGAGCCAGGTGCTGCTTTATCGCCGGCCAGGTGAGGGCGGGCCCAGCCGCTTCCATCGGTCCGTCGGCCCGCCCGCCCGTCGGTCGGTCGGTCAGTCGGAAACAGCTCTGGCGGGTCATCAGCGCTCTCCTCGCGGCCTGCTCAGACAGTGCCTCCTCCAACCCGACTTCGGATAGACACCACGACCAACACGACAACGACGACGACGACGACGACGACGACGACGACGACGACGATCACAACGAGTCGTCAAGGTCCATGCCGACGGACAGAAAGAGATTGCACGAAAGCACACAGCTTCAGGCAGAGCCAAGGAAAGGGAGGGAGGGCAATGCGACGACGAGTGCACATTACGATTCGTCTCTCCCCGGCTTGGAGGCGCGCTCGCGGTGCGACGACGCTGCCCACAAGGACCGCGTCTGGCTCTCTTCCCGCCTCTTCTTAGTGGATCTGTCTCCCACAGAAAGGATGGGAAGCAGAAAGTGGACAGAGGACGGATGCAGCAAGACTGGCTGGTCAGACGTCCATCGTCACTGTCCCGGTCTGGCCCACCGGCCCCGGCGCGGCACTCACAAAGACGTCTAGCCTGGTCAGCTGGCTGTAGGTCTCGCTGCTCATCCGGAAGCGCAGCATGCCCGCCCACATCATCAGCGCCCTCGCCTGCGCTCTGTACTGCTCCATGGCCTGGGTGGGGGGAAAACGAGGGCAGCGGCCAAACAAGATCAGCACAACAGTCAGCACCATGCGGGGCCCCTGTGGCGACCCGCCGCCGCCGCCTCCTCCGCCTTGGTCGTGGAGCACTCACCGCCGTGCCGCTGCGGTGGACCGACTCCTTGAGCGCCTTGTGCAGCTCGTACAGGGTCTGCATCGTCATAATGGCAATGGCGTCGAGGTTGCGCGCCACGTTTTCGTCGACCTCCTTGAACTCCTCGGCCTTGCGCGTGATGGCCACAATGTCCTTGCGCGACTCGGCGTCGATCGGAAGCAGCCGCAGCGCCTCAATCGTCTGCAGCGCCTGCACAAAGTGCTCGTCGCTGTACAGGCCAAAGCCCTTTTTCAGCTCCAGCAGGCACCGGCACGTGTCGCGGTTGCGGCCCGTGTAGCCAAACTGCTTCTCGTAGGTTTCGAGGATGGCCGACGCCAGCGTCACCAGGTTGCCCGCCGCCGAAAACGACGCGCCCGACGTCAGGCCGCCCGACTGCCACTCGGACGAGCTCGACGGCTCCGTCAGCCGCGCGCCCAGCTCCTTGTTGAGCACCGCCACCACCGTGTCCCGCTCGCCCGCCAGGTTGTAGAGCAGGATGGCCGACTCGGTGCGGTGCGCCAGCTCGCACTGCGTCGCCGCCACCTTGACAATCGTCGACAGAAACTCGCGCTCGTCCTTGATCCGGATCAGCGGCAGGTTGCGCTCAATAAAACCGGGCGTCTTGACGCCGTTGGTGCGCAGGTCGCCCAGCAACTCCTGGAACTCGGTCGGGTGGGCGTCGAGCACCAGCCCGCGGATCAGGTCGTGGCACCGCTGCACCTGCTCCGAGCCCACGGGCTCCGGCGCATCGGCGTTGAGGCAGATGAGGTAGAGGTACTGCAGCGCGTCGCGGCGCGACGACTGCGCAAACAGGCGGACGTAGCGCTGCACCAGCTTGGCAAAGTCGAGGTAGGCGATCGGCTGGCCCGTCGCCGCGTCCTGTTCGATCGACAGGCAGTCGACCTGCGACGAGGCGGCCGCCGAGGGCACGCGCAGCAGGCCGTAGTAGGCCAGGCCGACGGCAAAGTGGACCGCGTCGACCTGGTGGACCGAGCGCGAGAACAGGAAGGCGACCGCCTTCTCAAATTGCCCGCAGAGCAGCAGGATTTGGAAGTAGTGGAGCGGGCGGTTGCCCTTGGGGTCAAAGTGCGCCTCGCCGTACTTTTCCAGCTTGGCGCCCAGGTCGGCCAGCGTGTAGCGGTCGCGGACCGAGTCTTGGGCGTCGGACTCGTCGTCGAGCGCCTCGCGCACCATGCTCAGCTGGAGCCAGAGCCAGTTCTCGGTGCTCGAGGCCAGCAGCGTCGGGAACTTTTTGGCCACGTCGATGCGGCCGATGAGCTTGTAGAGCGACAGCTTGTAGGGGTCGTGGCCCTCGGGGATGCTGCGGAAGCGCGAGTTGTACTCGGCCACGAAGCGGTCCCGCAGCAGCCGCGGCAGCCGGCGCTCCGGGCTGTCGGCCCACGCCTTGAAGTAGGCTAGGAATGACGGGTCGGTGGCACGGATGCGGTTCTCGTTGTCGGCGGCGCAGTCGAGCGCCTCGGACGTCTTGCCGACGCGCAGCAGGTGATAGATGGTGGCCCAGAGCGGCGTGCCCGTCTGCTGGTCGAGCTCCTTGGCCAGGTCGTTGCGCCACTGGCCGGCGGAGGTGAGGTGCTGCACGCGGAGGTAGGCGCCCACCGTCGATCGGTTGGTCGGCACGCCTCCGCGCTGCGCCTGCACCGGGCGGGCGGCGATGGTCTGCTCCATGTGCGCGAGGAACTGCTCCTCGAGGTACGCCTTGGCGCCGTCGACGATGTTCCTGCGAAGCGACACGCCCTCGACGCCGTTCCAGTTGGCCGGGTCGACGTAGGCCGAGGCGTACTGCCTCTCCTGGATGGCCTTGGTGGTGAACTCGCCATCCCGGACATCCTGCTCGCGCACAATGTGGGCAATGGCCTGCCAGCAGTCGTGGAGCTGCTTCTGCTTGGGGTCCTCGGCCAGCCCGCGGACGGCATCCATGAAGGCGTGGGCCACGGCGAGGTTGTAGCCCTCGAGCCGGGACGAGTTGAGGCGGGAGACGACCATCTCGTACCGCACCATCTTGCCGTGCATCTGCGACATGGATGCCCCGCCGCCGCCAGCGCCGAGGCTCGCGCCGAACGTCGCACCCGGGCCGGTCGACTGCGAGAGGGTATATGCGGAGGTGGATGCGCCGAAGCCGGAGCGGGAGCGGGCGAGGTCGAAATCGCCAGCGCGGTCGGCGGCGGAGCTGGGCTGGTGCTGGCCGAGCTCCTCGAGGATCTTGCGCTTCTGGCGTTCCCAGTCGCGGTGCATGGTGCGGTCCAGGTTGCGGTGGAAGTCGTTGAGCGTCTCGCGCCGCCCCTCTTCGATGGCTCCGAGGATGACCTGCTCGTGCTCGTGCTTGAGGTAGCTCTCGACATCGGTGTCGTAGACTGGCTGCAGGGGCTCAAAGGTGTTGGCGATGTTGGCCGCGTTGATCGTCTCTGCGAGCTCTGCGGCGTCGATGCCACCGTTTGCGAGGAAGTAGTGGCTGCGTAGGGGGGGCGACGTGAGCGCGGGCAAGGCGATGGGGTTGGGTGGATGCGTCAGCTGGCTGGGCCGAGGCCAAGGTCAAGGCCTCTCTGCGCGAGTGGATGCTGGCGAGGGCGTGTGGTACTTACGCTCTGGCATCCGAGGGCTGCGCTGAGCCAGCGCGGAGGTGGCCGGCTGCGAGTTTCCGGGTCTGATCTGCGACCTGGTCGATGGGGAGCTGGATCTGTGGGACGTCTGAGCGGCCGAGGTGGTTTGTGAGTTTGTTGGACTGCTGTGCCAGCTCCGAGAGCGATCGCGGCTGCACGTCCATGAGGTAGTCGTTCATGTTGGCGACAGATTCGAGAGTGAATGGGCGTCTGGCTGGTGGTCGCCGAGGGGCGGTGGTGTCTGTGCAGTCAGGTCAGGAGGAAGAGCAAGATTCCTGCCTCGTTTGGTGGTCAAGAGCTGATGCTGGAGTCGAGGGTGGCCCTCGAAGGGTGCGACTGTGCGCGCCAGGGTGCAGGGCGGGGCAGGCGGAACACGTTGTTTCGCAGCGGGCGGGTGTCGTGACGATGGGCGGGGGATGGAGGGAGGTGGTGGCGTCGATGGCGGTTGAAGGGGTGGAGCGGCAGATGCAACCTGGCCTGGCTTCCGAGCCTTTGCGTGTTGCTGTCTCGATTGGGCGGCTCGCGTTGCGTTGCGGTGAGGGCCGCGCCCAAAAAGTCGACCGCCGCCTCGAAAAAGTGGCAGCCCGCTCCACTACTCCGGATCCGATCACACACACCTGCGCCGCCTCTGTCGGCCGAATGATTAGCAGGGCTGCCCTGACGGCCAACAAGGCACCAGAGCGGGTTTCATTTTTTGCGCAGAGTCGGAAGATGTCGACGTTCGAAACGAGAAAAGCCACCCGGGCTGGCATCCACCAGTTGCGTTTTTGCCAGGTCACCAAAAATTAGACTTTTTGGCAGGTCGCTGATGGCTGGCCGGTTCGGCAGGGATCAACGACGGATCAGCACCTCCAGAGCCGGGTTCGAAAATCGCGAATTGCGAGGATATTTGGACAGGAAAGAGGTGACAGCTTTCGGAAGCTGCCTGAGAAGAATCTCGAAGTTGCGAAAACTTGACACCGCCTACAGGCGGCCTCCTGCAGTCTCCCTGCGTTGGTGGCTCCTGGTCCATCACGTCCATCTCGTCGACGCTGACTTCTCTTCTCTCTCAACGTTGGGACTCTCCACGATCAACCCTGCTTGTTTGCCCGTTATCTCGCTCGCTCGCTGTTCCTCGCCATGCTCAGGCTCGGCCATGCGTCGGCAGAGCCACGGCCTCGTTCCGTCTGCGCTTGCTTCTTGCTTCTTGCTTCTTGCTCCCTCCGATGTCCATGGCAGGTTCGGTCAGCTCCCGCCGGCGCCTCGCAGCTGGCCGACCGACGACATCGCCCACCGCTCCGTAGACCGGCGGCATCGGTCTCGCCCTGGCTTGGCGCTCCGTCGGCTCTCGGATGCCTCGTTGCGATGGTCTAGAGCCGTCGCGGGGGCTGCGGCGACAAGCTCGAATGGGCTGGTCGCCCCGCCGGCTTCGCACTTGCTTGCTCACTCCCTCTCGGCTCGTTGTCGCCGCCGCTCGATATCGGGCGGGCGATTCCACACCGATCCAGGCCGTCTACGGCCATAGCCTGTCGGTACGCCGACAGAGGGGAGGTTATTGGATGCCACGGAGTCCCGAGGAAAGGGTGGGGTACCGGTAGGAGGCTAGGATGCGCCTTCGACCATGACGCTTCTCGCGATGCGCAGTAAGAGTGGTTTTCAATCTCGGCTGAGAGGCTCGCCTTCCATGACCACCTCGCACCCCCTGCCTTCCTATCCGGGACGACGATCCAGGGGCCAAGGGGTTTTGAGCAAGGACAGGGTTTGCCATCGTCCAGGGCCCTGTTCGAATCAATCGCCACCTCTGGCGTCGAACGGACGGGCGTACGGGCTGGCAGCTTGGCGGAGCGACCATGACCTCACGCTGTCGGTGCTGCCAGAGCTCGAACAAGGCCATGGACGCGCGCGAGAAGCGGCTTGGGCTTGGGCTGATCGGCCGACCGGCCGGCCGGCCGGCCGGCATCCAGGCCGCTGGGTGATGGCATGACACAAGGCGCTCGTCGACCAACGATGCTGCAAGATGCCTGGGCCAGGAGGGCCAGACATCATCCTACTAAGTCTACGTCGACATGGTCTTGGCGGCGAGGGCCAGAGTCGGCTCTGACGGCGACGGCGACGGCGACGGCGGCGGCCCTCGGCGTGTCGGGCGCACTCACTCAGCGAGCCGTCCAGGTCAGGCCTGCAGTTCGGCGTCGGCCGCGTCGGGCCCATGGCAGGCTACGCCTCACGGCCGTGGATGACATCCGCGAGACCGGCCTGCTGGCGGAGTTCTGATGCTTGCGCCGCACGTCTCGCCGGCGCCGTTAGCTTTCCGCTTTCGGCGAGGCCATCCTCCGTCGTCGTCGTCTTCCATCCGAAGCTCTCGCGCACTCGTCCGGCGGGTTGGTACGGATCGGCAACAGCCACCGATGAGCCGACGGCAGCAGGCTGGGCCTGGCCTGGGCTGGCCAAGAAGCTCGCCAAGACGGCATCGCCGGATCCCCGGAGGATTTGGAGGCAACCACCAAGTGGAGCGGTTCATGGTCAGGTACGGCTGGTACGAACCGACGACGGAACCAAGGAACGAAGACAAACGAAGGGCCGAGAGGATGAGCTACGGGAGGGGTCGACGGCAGGCCAGGCACGGTCGAATCCAGGAACGCGACGTGGGAAGCAGGCCAAGCCTGGCCTGGCCAAAGCTTGGAGAGGCTACGTCTACGTCTACGCCAGAAGCTGAGCTTGGCGACTGCACCTTGACGATGGCATAGACTTGCCGAGGTCTCACTGACTGCCTGCCTCGGTCCAGACGTCGTACATACGTCGTTGCGTTGTGGCTCCCGCGGCCCTGGATGGATGGAGGCGGCGAGGGCGATCCCTTGTCTCTGTTCGCTCCGTCGCTCGCTTGGTCGACCCGGACAGCCGTACGTGGGTTCCATGACACCCTGCCCGCCTCCTCTCGAATCATCGACGGCCGCCTCGACTTGACATGAACTCATCCTGGCAGCCGGGTCAAGCCACCCGGTCCAGCCTCGCATGCTTGCCAGCTCTCTTTGTGGCTTGACCTCCTTTGGCCTGGCTGGAGTGAGCCAGATCGTCGGTGCCTTGTCTATCTGCCGTCGAGGATCTAAGGGCGCTCGCTGGCAGGGCGGACAATATGAGCGCCCCCGCCTCCTCGTCCTCCGTGGTGGTATAAGAAGTCGAGGTCCGCCGTCCTCTGGCCGCCATCACCAACTCCGCTCCCCACCGGCTCCCCATACCGCACACCCACCACTCTAGCCTTCTCCCGTCCACTACCACCACCACCACCACCGACATCGCCGGAGCACCTCCGTCTACACGCCCACGACAACGACCGCCACGACGATGCACTTCCCCACAAAGGCCCTGCTCGCCATCCTGGCCACCTCGGTCGGACTGGCCACCTCGGCCGCCGTACCCCCCCACGTCGAGTTGCAGGACCGCAGCTCCAAGATCACGTTCACCGTTGTGAGTCTTGCCCTGCCTGCCCATCCATCCATCCGTCCATCCATCTGTCCGTAGCCTCTCTCGACTTTGTAGGATCGCTGACTGGATTGCACTTCACCTGCTCCTCTCCCTCGACGGCAACCACACGCAACACACAGCTGAACAAGTGCAAGCACTCGTTCGCGCCCATCTTTACGCCTCCGCTGCCGGGCCGGTCGAGCTGGCCGGTGCTGGCGCACAACGAGCAGGCGGTACACACCTTCAAGTCGGACACGTACCGCGGCAAAGTCTTTTCGCCGCTGCGCAAGGCCGACACGACGACGGGCGACGGCGCCACGTGGGGCGAGCTGGCCCTCGACGACGGCGACTACAACGTCTCGCTCGAGGGCGGCTACAATGTGCCCCTCCTCATCTGGAACCAGGGAAGGCAGTACCAGGGCTACTGCACGCCCGCGTGGTGCGACGGTCCGAGCTGCAAGGACGCTTACAAGGCCTCGTCTGGCCTCCTCGAGGGACAGGGACAGAGGTCCGGTGGCGAGACGAGGAAACCCAACCACTCGTGCCCGCCCTCGTTTGGCAACTGGATCGTCCAGTTCTGCTAGCCCTCGTCATCCTCGCCCTTCCCCTCCCCCTTCCTCCCGCACCGATTCCGCCTTCCTTCCGTTTCAGCTAGCTGTATTCTACCCTCCCTTTGGGCTCCCGCATCCGCCCGCCGCTCCTTGAGCGCGCCCGAGGCCGAATCCGATCGATGACTGCGCATCCCCATCGCGCCTACCCCTCTTTCTCCTCTGTCGAGCCACAGCCTCCCACCGGACCACGACTCAATCTCCGGCCTGCCTGTCGCGGTGGAAGTACAGCAGCATGCATGCATGTATGTCTCTGGGAGCGAGATGACGAGCTGAGAACGAGAAAAAGGCCAGGCCAGGCCGGGCCGGGCGCTCAGAACCAAACCTTGAGGAGCTCCATGCACTCTCTCAACCTCTTGATCGTCTCCTTTGCCTTGCCCTCCCCTCCCCCTCCTCCCACAGCCCCGCCAGCACCACCTCGCAGAGCAGCGCCAGCATCGACGTTGGCAACGGCAGCGCCGACCTTGACAATCTGCGAGTTGACCAGCTCCCACAACCGATCAACGGGAAGCGGCGCCGCCATACCCGCCCCTCCCCCTCCCCCTCCTCCAATACCACCGCCGCCGCCGCCGCCGAGGCCGCCCAGCATCGAAGCGGAACCCGGTGCAAAGTGGCGCGTCTGCTGCAGCGACGCCTGGATCCAGACGTGCAGGAACTCGGCCAGCTCCGCCACCAGGAACGCGTTGCCCGCGTTCGTGTTCCACGGCGGGGGCGCCGTAGACATGGCTCCCTGCAGGATGTCGAGGATCAGCTCCGGCTCCGAGCCCGTCGAGAGCAGCGTCGTGCTCGCCCAGCCCGTCGGCACCGCTTCTGCCGTCGCCGTCGCCGTCGCCTTGCCCTGCCGCTGCTGCTGCTGAAGCTCGAGGTTGTTGTTGCTGCTATTGTTGTTGGCGCCAGCCGTCGTCGACGATGCCGCCGCCGAGAGCACCGTCGACCCGCTGGTGGACTCGAGCGGCGACGTGGCGAGGTTGCGGTCGCCCTTGCTCCGCTTGCGCCACGAGGCCGGTACGGGGTTCTCGACGCGCAAGTCGTTGTCCTGCTCAAACGCGTAGCGCATCAGCAGGTCGAGGACGACGTCGACGGGACACGCATTGTCCTTGCGCCCCAGCCGCACAAAGAGGTCCTTGACCGTCGTCGCAATGGCCCGCGCCGCGTTGGCCTGGCCCGCCCGCCGCGCCGCCTCGTGCTCGCGGGTGAGGATCTGCGTCCACACCTCGGCCACCAGCCCGACGTCTTGGTACTCGGCGCTCGCGATGATCATGAGCTGCTCCTCGAGCAGGCCGTACGGCTCGGCAAAGTTCTTGTAGAGCGTCGAGAGGTCCAGAAGCTCGTCGTCGAGCCACTCGATCGACTCGGTCCGCTCGACGTCGGCGTCGTCGGCCGCCAGCTGCTGCAGCGAGTGGAGGATTTTGGCCTGCACCTGGGCCACCTCGAGGTCCTCTTCGACCTGCGACAGGAACGTCACCACGTCGTGGTTGCCCGCATGCAGCGGCCCCACCGACTTGGCGTTGCCCACCGCCAGCGCCAGGTACTCGATCCGCTCGCGCAGCTCCAACCCAAACTCCTTGGAGTGCGCCAGCGCATCGAGCACCTGCGCCGCCGCAAAGAACTCGCTGTTGCGCACGTAGAGCTGCCACAGCAGGTCGCGCAGCGTGCGCACGTAGCCCACGTCGTTGGCGTGGTCGGCCGCCGGCATGCCCTGGAGGTAGTCGGCGAGGAATGGCGTTCGCAGCTGGAGCAGCTGGTCGGTCAGCCGGCGCTCAATCAACCAGGCATAAAACTGCTCGTGGAACAGAGGGTCGTCGGAAGCCTCGGCGCGCGCGTAGGCGTCGCCGCGCACCGTGTCGCGCGCATCGACCAGCACCTGCACGCGTGCCTTGGTGTCCTGGACATTGTGCGCGGCGTCGAGCCGGTCGTCGAGCTCCTTGAGCGTCTCAAAGACGATGGCGTAGGCCGCCTTGCGCCGGTCGTAGACGGCCTTGCGCGGCTCGTTGTCCGCACCCGCGGGGCATCCATCGGCGCGGTAGGCGATCGCGACGTTGTTCGGGTCCCACTCGGCCGCGCATCGCAGCGCCAGATCGACGACGCCGATCGGGTAGTCGAGCCGGCGGTAGTCGTCGCAGATGGCCCGCAGCTTGTCGGTCGACAGCTGTCCCGCGCCCCTGCTCAGCAGCCGCTCGCTGTGGCGCAGCTGGTCGACCTTTTCCTGCTCCGACGGCGTCTCCTTGGCCCGGCGGATGCACTCGGTCGCCTTGTACTGGCGCACGTCGTCGGCGCTGCAGAAGCTGCCGCAGCGCGACTGGAGCCCGTCGGCGACGGCGTCGATGCTGGCCTGGGCGCCGATCTTGGCCTCGATGAGGGCCGTGACAAGCTCCTTGGAGACGATCTTGCCCTCGGGAGCCGTCAGGAGCTGGCCGAAGCGCAGCGACGAGATCGTCTTCTTGGCGTCGGCAGAGCAGGCGTTGATCAGCGGCGGAAGGCCGTGGTCCATGAGGAAGAGGACAAAGTTGACCGCCTCGACCGTCCGCAGTGCCAGCGCCTGGATCCTCTCGACGCTCTCCTGGTCCGATTTGATGGCCCGCTCCTGGTCGTATTCCGTGCCGCCAGCACCGCCGAGTACGAGCCGACTGGACGAGGGCCCGCCAAGGCTAAAGAGCTTGCCGTTACGCTGCATAAACTCGCAGAGCGGCGCCAGGTCGAGCAGGGCAGCCTCGAGGTCCTCCTTCTTGAGCGGGAGCTGCGTCGCCGTTGTCGAGGCCGAAGAGGCGACGAGCGACTTGTAGGGCGTGACGGCGTTCGAGGCCGCGGCGTTCGGCTTGGCACCCGCAGCAGGGGGGGCCGGCGGAACCAGCAGGCGGTCCCAGATGCGGTCCAGCAGGCAGGCCATGTACAGGGCGAGGCCCTCGTGCCGCGACGTCCGCGGCGCGTTGAGTGGCGTCGTCATCGCCGGCCAGGAGCCGCACTGGCCAAAGATGATCCGCGAGGCCTGGGACATGACTTCCTCGCTCAGCATCCTGCCGGCGCCCTTGGGACCGCCGCCGCCAAAGGCCCCGGCGCTCAGTCGATTGAGCGAGACCTGCGAGTTGCCGGCGGCAATGGCGAGCGCAGTAGCGCAAGATTCGGTGGGCCCAAACGTATTGAGAAACTCCATCATGATGGCGCTGTTGATGGACATGCCGGACTCGAGCAGCGCCTTGAGCATGTCGATGGGCCTGCGCTCCACGACCTCGGTCAAGCCGTTGTTGTCGAGGATGAGGAAGCTGCGCGGTGGCCGAAGGAACTGCGCCACCGTGGGGCGGATGAGCTCGCCGCACTCCGAGAAGGGCGCCGCCGCCGCCGCTGAGCCGAGCGGTTTGGTCTCAGCCATGACCGGCGCGCTGAAGACCAGCTCGAGGTCGATGTACGAGGCTGACTCGACGCGCGCGCCGGGCGTCGAAGAGCCCGAGGGGGCGGGCGTGATGCAGCAGACCTGCGAAAGGCCCGCGTTGAAGCTGAACGCCAGCATGAAGACGTCGCCAGCGCAGAGGACCGACGAGACGTTCCTGCCTGCCGCCGTTGCTGCCTGCTGCTGCTGCTGCAGCTGCGACTGGCCTGTGCCGGAGAGGGCCAGCGCGTTCTGCTGCCCGGGCTGTGATGGCTGCTGTTGAGGCTGCAGTGGCGCTGCCAGGCCCGGCGGCATGCGCACCTGGAAGGGCGCCCACGTCCTCCCTTGAAAGTCGTCAAAGAAGATCCGGTAACCCCTCGTCGTCACGGCGATAAGGGCCACGTTGGTGCGCGGGTCGTGTTCCGCCGGCCCGATCCAGACAATGTCGCCGACGTCCTGCTGCGAGTGCGTGATGCCGGACTGCTTGGTGACGCCCTCGACGCTGCCGGTCTTGTTGGGTGCCCTGGATGCGTCGCGCGAGGGGAGGTGGAAGACTTCGATGAGGGACCCTTCGCGGAGGGTGTAGAGGAGATTGCGGGCGTCGTCGACGGCGATGCGGTCGAGGCGCTTCTCGGCCTTGATGAAGGTGGGGAGGAGGTTGGAGAACTTGGGGCTGGTGACGTTGCGGAGGTAGCACTTGTTGCTGAACCAGCCCTCGCTGGCCTGGTAGACGAGCTCGTAGAGGCAGTTGTCGGACCCGGCGGCAAAGATCCTGCCGGCGGCGGTGCCGTGGATCTCGGTGAGGACGACGCCGTTGGTGTTTGCGCTCATTCCGGTCTCGTAGAGCTTGACCTCGGACTGGCCATCGGCTTTCTGGATGAACTCGATGCCGAGAAGGGTGAGGGACCTTCCGACGTGAGGAAAAGAACCGGTGCTGATGACGAGGAGGTGCTTTATCTGGTCGATAAAGACGCCTTGCCTGGCGGGGATGACGCCGACTGCGAGGATGAGCTGGTCGTCTGGTAGCGAGTGGTACTCGAAGGCCGACTGTCCCTCGGCATAGTTCCAGAGGTAGAGCTGGTGGTCGATGGTGATGCATGCGCGCTGGATGTCGGGGAAGAGGGCCTGCCTGGCGATGGGGGCGAGACCCTTGATGCCGTCGAAGATTTCTGGGGGAACGGGCAGGGTTCTTGTCTTTTCGAATGCAAGCCAGGGGTCGCTGCGGTGCTCGTAGTAAGCGTCGTTTCGTTCGGGGAGCCTCGCTTTCAGCTCTGGCAAGGTGATGCGGCCCGCTTTGGCCGAGTGGACTGCGGCGACAGCATCCTGGAGCGAGGGCAAGCTGAACGGATCGGCGACCATGTTGGGCAGTCGAAGCCGGGCGGCGCACGGAGAAGGCCGGCGGCCGGACGTGGGCAGGGAAGGTTGTCGCCAGGAAGACGGGTCAAGTGGCGATGGGGAATGTGCTGGTGCCCTGATGCTCGTCTTTGATGCTTGTCGAGGTGCGGGCGGGAGCGACGGGAAGGAGGGCCAGGCGGCGGGCGTGCGACGCTGTTGGGACGGTTGTATGCGCGTGCCGTGGCCGCCGGTGAGGGCTTCTGATGGGCTGTGTGGAAGGGAGGTGGTGGCGGTGCGCGAATGGGCCGAGAGAGGTGGGTGGGGGAGGAGAAAGAAGACGAGGAGGGAGGAGGTTGGTGGTGGTGGTGATGACGACAAGCGACCAAGCCACAGCAGCCAGAGGGAGAGGGCTGCGCCGGGCGGCGTCGCTCGCCTGCGCCTTTTGGGGATTTTCTTCGTGGGTTGGACGCGCCTCGCCTCAGTCGCCTTGCCTCCATCTCAACTTCGACGGGGTCGTCACTGGCGGGGTCGTCACTTATCGGGCATTATCCCGCCGATGCCGATCCCAACACCACCACCACCGCCTGAATGCCCGATGAGCGCGCCTCTTTACTCAACAACAGGCGGCCGCGCGACGCGTTGGCAAACGACCACCGACCTGGCTTGAGAGCCAGATGGCGAGTCAGGCTAAGGCACCTTTGGTCGAGGGCTGCAGTCGGCCTCCAACCTTGCTTGCCTCCTCGCCGCCACCCCGCCACCCCGCCGCCTCACTTCCCCTCTCAACTACCACTGCCTCGCCCTCGCCCTCGTCCTCGGCCACGGCACTCCCGTTCCCCCACAGCGACATCGCAAGCGCAAGCCATGTTCCGCACCGCACAACCAAGCGCCATCGGCGGCGGCGCCTCGGCCGCCGCATCCTCGTCGTCATCCGGCCCCTACCCCTCGTCGGCCAACCCCATCTCCGGCATCACCACCGCGCCCACCGTCAAGCGCCGCAACCTAAAGGGCGGCAAGCTCGAAAAGTACCCGCACCGCCTCAACTTCTACTCGCTGCCCCCCATCGACGAAATCACCATCGAGCAGTTCGAGTCCTGGGCCATCGACCGCCTAAAGGTCCTCGCAGAGGTCGAGTCCTCCCAGGCACGCAACCGCTCCTATCCAGAGATGAAGGAGGCCGTCAATGCAATGGCGAAAAAGTACCTTCCGCTCGCGGCCAACACCGCTGCCAGATCCACCGACGTGCAGCTCGAGAGGACAAAGGACCACGTCAGCCACTTTGTCCTTCGCCTCGCCTTTTGCCGCAGGTGAGCCGGCAACCCCTCGTCGCCGTCCTAGAGAGAAACGGCGACACAGCACTGACCTCGCTTCCCCCTCGTGTACGCTTCTCCTCGGACCCGCCGGACGCCCCCCAGCGAGGATCTGCGCCGGCGCTTTGTCAAGGCCGAGACCACCCTCTTCCGCCTGCGCTACGAGAGCGACGACACGGCCGAGCGCGAGGCGTTCCTCGCCGACCTCAAGACGGCGCTCCAGTTCAAGTGGGACGACGTCAGCCACGACGAGATGCGCCTCTACCGCGAGCAGCTCATCGCCACCCACCCGCGCATCGCCCAGACCTTTGACGCGGAAAAGTTTGTCAAGGTCGAGTGGACGCGCGTCACGGACCTCGTCGAAAAGCGCCGCGTCTTTCTGCACGCCGGCAAGGCCTGGGTGCCCATCAAGGAGCAGTCGAGCCTCATCTTTGCCGAGTTCCAGTCGCGCCTCGCCAGGGACCTCGAGGCCACCGCCAAGGCGCTGCCCCGCCTCGACGAGGACGACCGCCTGCTCCCCGTCCTCTCGCACCTCAGCATGGGCTTCCTGGCCGGCCTGTCCAACGACTTTTCCAACTCATCGATCACGGCTGACGGCACCACGACCATCACGGCCGGGATGGTCGACTCGCTGGTCAAGGCCCACGCGCCCCTCTGCATGCGCCACCTGCACACGACCCTGACCGAGTCGGGCCACTTGCGCCACTACGCGCGGCTGCAGTACAACCTCTTCCTCAAGGAGCTCGGCCTGCCCATCGAGGAGGCGCTCCTCTTTTGGCGGCGCAGTTTCCGCAACATGACCGACGACAAGTTCACAAAAGAGCACCGCTACAATATCCGGCACGGCTACGGCCTCGAGGGTCGGAGGCTAAACTACCCGGCCAAGAGCTGCGCCCGCATCCTGACCCAGGACCCGCCGGGCCCGCAGGACTCGCACGGGTGCCCCTTTCGCCACTTTTCGCCGGCCAACCTCTCGACGGCGCTGTCGACGCACTACGGCCTCAGCGCGGGCGAGCAGGGCGAGATCCTGACGGCCGTCAAGGCGGGCCACTACCATGTCGGGTGCACGCGGCTGTTTGAACTGACCCACCGCAACAGGGGGGTCAAGAAGGGCGCCGGCCTCGACGGTCAGGGCGAGAGCGTATCCCACCCCAACAGGTACTTTGAGAGGAGCTGGAGACTCGAACACGAGGGCGGCGAGGCCATCACCGTCGACCACGACGACGACGACGGCGTCGAAGGCGGTGCAGGCACCGTGGCTTCGAACGCGAACGCGACCACGACGAGGGCGGGGTCGGGGTCGGGGTCGGGGTCAAAGGGGAATGGAACCACCGACGGCGATGGTGATGGTGTTGGAGAGGACGATGATGGGTTCGATGCCGATATGATGCAGGAGCTCGAGAGGCAGGAGAGGGAGCAAGAGGAAAAGAGGCAGAGGTTGAGAATCGAAGAGGAGGAAGCCATGGACCTCTCCTAGCCGCGTTCTCGCTCAAACCCCATCCCACGCTGTACCTAGATACCACCCGTCCGCCATCCCCTTGCCATTTCGATCTTGGTCATTTCCACATCTCGACCCCGTCGGTCGTTGTTCGCTCGCGCTCGCACACACGCGCTGCACGTCGGGTCAAGCCTACGGTTCGCGATTTCAGAGCCACGGACACAACAACATGGAACAGAGAGAGAGAGAGAGACAGAGAGAGGAAGGAGCCAAGAAACCTGGGATCGTGTACAACGTAGCCGGCCAGAGGGGGAAAACGGGGAGCGCGGGAGAATGAGACGGATGATGTACACACGTTTCTTGCTTCGTAAAAGGGGCTTCGTGACGGGAGAGAGGGGGGCGAAGAGGGGGGAAGGTGGGGTGATGAAGCGAGGGAGGGCTTAGGCGGTGGCGGCCACCTTGGTCTGCTCGGCCTTGGTGGGCAGGAACTCGCGCTTCTTGATCGAGCCGGCCCAGGCGAGGCGCGTGTTGCCCATCAAGTCGCGATCAACCTGGGCGGCGGCCGAGCGGCCCTCCTGGATGCCCCAGACAATGAGCGACTGGCCGCGGCGGCAGTCGCCGGCCGTGTAGACGCGCTCGACGTTGGTGCGGTAGGGCGACTTGCCCTTGAGGTCGTCGGCCTTGATGTTGGAGCGGCCGTCCTGCTCGAGGCCGAGCGCCGATACGGCGTCGTTCTCCGGGCCCAGGAAGCCCAGCGACAGCAGGCACAGGTCGCAAGGCCAGCGCTTCTCGGAGCCGGGCACCTTGTTCATCTGCCACTTGCCCGACGCGTCGAGCTCCCAGTTGACCTTGATCGTGTTGAGCGCCACCAGCTTGCCGCTCTCGTCCTTCTCAAACGACGTCGTCGAGATGCAGTACTCGCGCGGGTCGCTGCCCCACTGGGCGGCCACCTCGGCATGGCCGTAGTCGACCTTGAAGACGCGCGGGAACTGCGGCCAGGGGTTGCCGCGGGCGCGCTCGTTGGGCGGCTGCGGCAGCAGCTCAAAGTTGACGATGCTCTTGGCGCCGTGTCGCAGGGCCGTGGCCTGCGCATCGCAGCCAGTATCACCGCCACCAATCACGATCACGTCCTTGCCCTTGGCGCTGAGGTAGTGGCCGTCGGCAAGGCCCGAGTCGAGGAGCGACTTGGTGTTGGGCGCGAGGAAGTCCATGGCAAAGTGGACGCCGTCGGCCTCGCGGCCGGGCACCTTGAGGTCGCGCGGCCAGGTGGCGCCGACGGCGTAGACGAGGGCGTCGTTCTGGGCGTGAAGCTGGCGCGGGTCGACGTCCTTGCCGACGTGGGCGCTGGTGACAAAGTTGACGCCCTCGGCGGCCATGAGGTCGACGCGGCGCTGGACGACGCCCTTGTCGAGCTTCATATTGGGGATGCCGTACATGAGCAGGCCGCCGATGCGGTCGGCGCGCTCGTAGACGGTGACCGAGTGGCCAGCCTTGTTGAGCTGGTCAGCGCACGCCAGGCCGGCGGGGCCGGAGCCGATGATGGCGACCGTCTTGCCCGTGCGCACCTTGGGCGGGCGCGGCACCATCCAGCCCTCCTCGAAGCCCTTGTCGATGATGGCGCACTCGATCGTCTTGATGCCGACGGGCTGCTCGATGACGCCGAGAGTGCAGGCGCCCTCGCAGGGAGCGGGGCAGACGCGGCCGGTGAACTCGGGGAAGTTGTTGGTCATCAGCAGGCGGTCGAGGGCGGCGCGCCAGTCCGAGTTAAACACCATCGAGTTCCACTGCGGGATGATGTTGCTGATGGGGCAGCCCGTGTCGCCCTGGCAGAAGGGGACGCCGCAGTCCATGCAGCGGGCCGTCTGGTACTTGAGCTCGGACTCGGTCAGGCGGACCGAGAGCTCCTTGTAGTCCTTGATGCGCTTGCCGGGAGCGCGGTAGTGCTCGCCGAGGCGCTTGTACTTCATGAAGCCGCGCACCTTGTCGACCTTCTCGAGGCGGGCCTTGGCCGTCTCCTCGTCGACCATCGAGTCCTCGAGGTCGACGAGCGCCGGCTCGGCGTGCTTGGCCGGCTTGGCGGCGGGCACCTCGCGGACGTTGTCGACGACGTTGTCCTTGGGCTGGTCGTCGACGACCGAGACGTCGACCTGGCTGCCGTGGCGCGAGAGGGTGCCGAGCAGGTCGACGTGGCTCGAGCGCTTCTTCTCGGCGGCGGCGCGGGCGGCCTCCTCCTCGAGGACGCGCTTGTAGTCGACGGGCATGACGCGGACGAAGCGCGGCAGCAGGTGGTGGAACTCGCGCAGGACGTGCTCGGCCACCGTGGAGCCCGTGTAGTGCTTGTGGTTCTCGATGAGGTTGCGCAGCTCGGCGATGTCGTGGGGCTCCTTGACGGGCCCGAGCTCGACGGTGCCAAGGTTGCACTTGCTGGCAAAGTCGCGGTTCATGTCGAGCACGTAAGCGATGCCGCCGCTCATGCCGGCGGCGACGTTGCGGCCGGTGGAGCCGAGGATGACGACGCGGCCGCCAGTCATGTACTCGAGGGCGTGATCGCCGGTTCCCTCGACGACGGCGTGGGCGCCCGAGTTCCTGACAGCGAAACGCTCGGCAGCGATGCCGCGGAAGTAGGCGTGGCCGCTGGTGGCGCCGTAGAGGCAGACGTTGCCCGCGATGATCTGCTCCTCGGCCTTGAAGACCGAGTTCTTGGGCGGGTAGACGATCAGGCGACCACCCGAGAGGCCCTTTCCTCCGCCGTCGTTGAGGTCACCCTCGAGCTCGATGGTGATACCGGGGGCAAGGAACGCGCCGCACGACTGACCGGCCGAGCCCTTGGCGTTGACGTGGATCAGGTCGGCGGGCAGGCCCTCCTCGCCGTAAAGCTTCGACACGCGGTACGACAGCGTGGTGCCGAGCGCGCGGTCGGTGTTGACGACGTCACAGTCGATGATGACGGGCAGGCCCTCGGTGAGCGCCGGCTCCGCCTCGTCGATGAGCTTGTTGTCGAGGCGCACATAGAGCTTGTGGTCCTGCTTGCGCACCTTGTAGGTGGCGGCACCGGGGCGCATCTGGTGGGCCGGCTTGAGCAGCGCCGACAGGTCGAGGTGGCGGGTCTTGGGCGTGCGGAGGCTGTCGTCGACCTTGAGCAGGTCGGCGCGGCCCACCATCTCATTGATGGTGCGCAGGCCGAGCTTGGCCATGATGGCGCGCAGCTCCTCGGCGAGATAGAAGAAGAAGTTGATGACGTGCTCGGGCTGGCCGGCGAACTTCTCGCGCAGCTGCGGGTCCTGGGTGGCGATGCCGACGGCGCACGTGTTCAGGTGGCACTTTCGCAGCATCAGGCATCCCATGGCGATCAGGGGCGTGGTGGCGAAGCCCCACTCCTCGGCGCCAAGCAGACAGGCGATGGCAACGTCGCGGCCGGTACGCAGCTGACCGTCGGTCTGGACGATGACACGGCCACGCAGGTCATTGAGCACCAGCGTCTGGTGGGCCTCGGCCAGGCCGAGCTCCCACGGCAGACCGGTCTGCTTGATACCGGTCCAGACGGCGGCACCGGTGCCTCCGTCGTGGCCCGAGATGACGAGGTGGTCGGCCTTGGCCTTGGCCACACCGGACGCGACGACACCGACGCCGACCTCGGAGACGAGCTTGACCGACACGTTGGCGCGCGGGTTGGCGCACTTGAGGTCGTAGATCAGCTGCTTGAGGTCCTCGATCGAGTAGATGTCGTGGTGCGGCGGAGGGCTGATGAGGCCGACACCGGCAGTCGAGTGACGCGTGCGCGCAATCGAGGGAGACACCTTGTGGCCGGGGAGCTCACCACCCTCACCAGGCTTCGCGCCCTGGGCCATCTTGATCTGCAGCTCGTCCGAGTCGGCGAGGTAGTTGCTGGTGACGCCGAAGCGGCCCGAGGCGATCTGCTTGATCTTGGATCGGAGCGAGTCGCCGTTGGGCAGCGGGATGGAGCGCTCAGGGTCCTCGCCACCCTCACCGGTGTTGGAGCGGCCTCCGAGGCGGTTCATGGCAATGGCGAGAGCCGAGTGGGCCTCCATCGAGATGGAACCGTACGACATGGCGCCCGTACAGAAGCGCTGGACGATCTCGGTCCACGGCTCGACCTGGTCGACGGGGATGGGTCGCGACTTGGTGAAGTCGAAGTCGAGCATGCCGCGGAGCGAAGTGCCCTTGACGGCGTCGTGCGAAGCCTTGGAGTACGTGTCCCAGGCCGACTGGTTCTTCTCGCGCGCGGCGTCCTGCAGGTTGGCGATGGTGACGGGGTTGTTGATGTGCGCCTCACCGCCGTGGCGGTAGTGGAACTCTCCACTCTCGGGCAGGCCGGGGATGGTGACCGTCTCGCGCGACGGGAAGCCGCGGTCGTGGAGCTCGAGGGCGTCCATGGCGAGCAGCTCGAACGTTGAACCGCTGATGCGCGACGCGGTGCCGGCAAAGCAGCGCTCGATGACGCTGTTGTCGAGGCCGAGCGCCTCAAAGATCTGGGCGCCCTTGTACGAGGCGAGCGTCGAGATACCCATCTTGGACATGACCTTGAGGATGCCCTTGTCGATGGCGTGCCTCCAGTTGTCGACGATCTGGGAGGGGCTGAGGTCGGCCTTGAGCAGGCCCTCGCGCGACACCTTGAGCATCGCCTCGAAGGCGAGCCAGGGGCAGATGGCGTCGGCACCGTAGCCGACGAGGACGCACATGTGGTGCACCTCGCGAGCCTCGGCCGACTCGACCATGAGGGCGATCTTGCTGCGCTCCTTGTTGCGGATCAGGTGGTGGTGGACACCGCCGCAGGCAATGAGCGAGCTGATGCTGACGCGGTCGGCGCTGACGGCGCGGTCCGAGAGGATGACGACACGGTAGCCATCGCGGATGGCCTGCGACGTCTCGCTGCAGACGCGGTCGAGGGCAGCCTCGTAGCCCGTCAGGCCGGCGCCCTTGTCGAACGTGATGTCGATCGTCTTGGACGGCCAGTCGGCGTGGACAGTGTCGAGCTGCTTGATGGCGTTCATCTCGTCGATGGTGAGGATGGGCGAGGGCAGCAGCAGACGGTGGCACTGCTCGGGCTTCATCTCGAGGAGGTTGCCCTCGGGACCGACGTACTGCTCAAGCGACATGACAATCGACTCTCGGATCGGGTCAATGGGCGGGTTGGTGACCTGCGCGAAGAGCTGGCGGAAGTAGTCGTAGATGAGGCGGGCGTTGGGCGAGATGCACGCAAGCGCTCCGTCGTTGCCCATCGATCCAAGCGCCTCCTTGCCGTCGCTGATCATGGGCAGCATGAGCAGGTTGATCTGCTCGGCCGTGTAGCCGAACGTCATAAGGCGCGGGTCGGTGCTCAAACGCTCGTCGTCGAGGACAGGGGCGATGGCGTTGCCCGTCTCGCGGCGCACGCGGTCCACAATCTCGGGCAGGCGGAGCATCTGGTTCTCGATCCAGGCGGCAAAGTCGCGGCTCTGGGCGGTCGTCATCTTGAGCTCGCGGTCCTCAACGATGCGGCCCTCGACAGTGTCGACGAGCAACATCTTGCCCGGCTGCAGCCGGCCCTTCTCGAGGATCGTCTCGGGCGCGATCGAGATGGTTCCGACCTCGGAGGCGCAGATCATGATGTCGTCGTCGGTGACGTAGTATCGGCAGGGTCGCAGACCGTTCCTGTCGAGGTTGGCACCGCAGTATCTGCCGTCGGCGAAGGTGAAAAGCGCGGGACCGTCCCAAGGCTCCATCAGGCACGCGGCCCAGCGGTAGAAGGCGGTCTTGGCCGGGTCCATGCGGTCACCGTCGCCCTGCCACGCCTCGGGAATCATCATCATGACGGCCTGGGGCAGGGTGAGGACGTTGTTGATGACCAGCAGCTCGAGGACGTTGTCGAACGCGGCCGAGTCGGAGCCGCCGCTCTCGATGATGGGGTAGAGCATGTCGAGCTCGTCGCCGAACGTCTCGGACTTGAGGACACCCTCACGCGCGCGCATCCAGTTCTTGTTGCCGCGGACGGTGTTGATCTCGCCGTTGTGGGCGGCCCAGCGCATGGGCTGGGCGCGGTCCCACGAGGGGAACGTGTTGGTCGAGAAGCGCGAGTGGACGAGGGCAAAGTGCGACGCGTAGTGGGCATTGTTGAGGTCGTGGTAGTAGTTGTAAACCTGGACGGGGCTCAGCTGGCCCTTGTAGATGATGTTCGACGGGCTGAGCGAGCAGATGTAGAACCAGTTGGCGAGGCCGATGGTGTGCGTGGCGTGCTTGCGGAGCACATAGAGCTGGCGGCCAAAGTACTGGTCGTCGAACTTCTTGTCGGTGGCCTGAGGCTCCTTGCCCGTGCCGTAGTGGTCCGTGAGGACGACAAAGGGCTGGAGGATCTTGGGCTCCTTAGACCTCGAGGCGGGGCCGAGGATGGTGTTGTCGACAGGCACCTCACGCCAGCCGAGCACGCGCAGGTGCAGCTTCTCGGCGAGGCCGGTGAAGGTGTCGACCTGCTTGCGCCAGGCCTGCTCGCTCGTAGGGTCAAAGAAGAGGTTGCCCACGGCGTACTGACCCTGGGGCGGCAGGGTGAAGCCAACGTCCCTCTCGGCCTCACGGCGGAAGAAGTGGTCGGGGATGCCCGTCATGACACCGGCACCGTCACCGTCGCGAGCGTCGGCGCCGACGGCGCCACGGTGAGTCATGTTGCAGAGCAGCTGCTTGGCGTCCGACACGATCTTGTGCGCGGGCTTGCCCTTGATCTGGCACATGAAGCCGACACCGCAGGCATCCTTCTCGTTGTCCGGGTCGTAGAGACCCTGGGCGGCGGGCAGGGCGCCAGCCCAGGAGGTCTCGGTGGCGCGCTCTACCTCCTCATAGCCGCTGGTGGCAAAGTCGGTCGAGGAGATCGACTCCTCGTTGATGGCGGCGAGCTCGGCGGTGAGCTTCTCGACGTGGCGGGAAGTGGCGGTGGTGGAAGGCCTGGCGGAAACCGTCGGAGCCATCCCAGCGACTGCGAAAGTGGTACGGTGGAGTGTTTGGGGCGGTGAAGAAGGGAGAGTCTCGAGGAGGTGCTCCCTGGGGCTACGGTAGATCCGGCTGGTGGCGGCGGCGGCGCGGGAGAGGTCTAGATGCAGGGTGACGGGCGGGTCGATGCGTTTGGGATACGAGGCTTGACGTTGCTGGGCTCGACCGGGGGTATGCGGTTGAAGGCGAGGCTCTTTGCGGGCGAAGAGAATACAGATGCTTTTTTGCGCGGCTGCTGCGGAAGAGAGACGGGCAGGGAGGGAAGACTCGAAATGGTAGGCTCGACCGGCGGGTCTAGCGAGTGGCGAAGAAAGGGACGGCCGACGGGTGGACAGAGGTTTGGCAGGGTGTGAAGAAAGTCCGTTCGGCAGGTGGTGGTGGATGCGGGGGGACGAGGTGAACGGAAGGTGAAGAGGGCGAGGCAGCGATATTTGTTAGCCCGGAAGGTCCAGCGCGCGGTGGGGACTGTGGCAACGGCGACCGACGAGCCAGCTAGCCAGCCAGCCAGCCAAGCAGCGGGCCCGGCCAGGTCAGGCCAGGAAGCAGGCGAGGCTACGGCGGCGTGCATGCGCTGAACATCGACCAATCAGGCGGCCGCCCCTTTGAAATTGGGCCCGCCCAGCCCAGGCAGCGGCGACGGCTTTCAAAACGCAGGCGAGCCTCTGCCTGTCTGACTCGGCGGCGCCGCGCGGGCGTGGACCGACGAGTCTGGCCCCAGCCAGCGGGAGGGCTGCGAAGAACCAGCGACCAGGCCGGCTGGCGAGGGGCCAGGCGAGAAGTCTAAAAAAATCCGGACGCTGCCGGCTCGCTCGCTGGCCAGCCCGACGCGCCAACTTCGACAGCCATCTCCAACCCGCAACGCCAGCTGGCAGACAGCTGGATGGCAGCGACGAGGCGGGACAAGGGCGGCCAACCTTTCTTGGCTGGTCAGCCGAACCGATATTATGGTAATTGCCGGCGGCACCCGAGGAGGGGGCGGACGCACGGCTTACCCAACACGGGACGACTCTCTCGTGCGAGAAGAGCAGGCGGGTGACTCGCCCTTGCCACCGCCGTGGCCAGGCTTAGCCTGACGCGGCGAGAAGAAAAAACGAGCGGGCAGCGCAGAGGCAAGAGGCCGGCCTCTTTTTCTTCCCGCTCGGGTCCTGCCAGAAGCAAGCTCGGGCGGGCGGGCATCTGGAAATTCCTGGCCTCGCCTCGCCTCGCCTCGGCTCGGCTCTGAACGAAGACGAGCGAGCGAGCGAGATGAGATGAGATGGCAGGAATCCGAGCCGCCTGATTGGCTGCCGATAAGAGGCCAGGCCCATGCATGACCCTGGGGCCCGCACGAGCGAGGTGCTTCTGCGAACCGGTCCGGTTCCCTAGGCCTGGCCGGCCTCCGCCTCCACGTACTGCCCAGACCCCGCATCTTCCAGGCTAGGGCTCTCGCCGACTCGCCCGCCCCGTCTGCCTGCCTCCTTCCACGCGCGCGAGCACCACGCTCGGCCGACGAGAAGGACGTTCCTTCGTCGTCGTCGTCGTCGCCGTCGCCGTTCGTCGCCGTTCATCGCGGCCGCCATCGAGACGACCACCTGCGATGCCGCCACCTCATGGCCTTCCGGCCTTGTGGCGGCGAGCACTGCGACAGGGGACAGCCGGACAGTGGGCGGCGACAAAGAGGTCGACAAGACGCGAAACGAGTGGTGCAGCGATGCGAGCGATCCGAAGGCTGGGCCACAATCGGACGTGATGATCGCGCCTCGCCCGACGCGACTCGTCGCTCGACGCCTTCGCCCGTCTCTGAGAGAACAGGCTGAGACGATTGACGAGGAACAGCAGGCCAGGTCGTCGGCTTCAGAGCAGCCCGCGAGGCGAGCCGACGCGCGCCTCCCCCACCCAAAGGAACGCGAGAAACGCAGCATGGGTCCGATTGGAAGCGACGGCGCGCGAGCACTCACCTAGAAGCAAGAGCTCAGAGTCTCGCGGCGCAAGAGGCTGGGAGGGGTAGATATGATTTTCGATGCCGATCTCTCGGCTGAGGCCGTAGGGGCGTTTTGAGGGCGGGCGGAGGTGGTTGCAGAGGGCGGGCGAGGTAGGCTGTGTCGACGGCGAGCTCCTCGTGTTTCTCTCTGTCGTTTTGCGGTAGGCTGGACGCTGGGCAGTGAGAAGCAAGAGAGTAAGGTAACGGCGAGGATGGTGGTGGTGCGATGGAAAGGGAAGTTGCGAGGGAGAGAGAGGGAAGAAGAGGTGAAGGTGCGGGGGCGGGCCGGGGACTGCTAGAAGAGGACGGCTCGACGACGACGAGCAGGCAGCAGCAGCAGCAGCAGCAGCAGCAGCAGCGGTCAGGCAGGCAGGCGAGCAGCCAGGCAGGCAGCTGAAAAAAAATTAAGGCCACCGCCGGTGCGGAGCGTGTGGGGTTCCGAGCAGCGACCGTCCTTGCTCGCCCAAAGCCTACGCCGAGCGACAAGTTACCTACGAAGCCTGACCCACCGACGCCGTACGCGTTAGCCGGGGGATCTCTTGCGCCCGCCCGCATCGTTGTCGGCCCCCGCGCAGAGCCACGCGCGAGACGCCGCGGTACGTACAACGAGCGTGGCCTGTCTGTCAGCCGCGCCCCACGTCTTCGCAAGACGGCGGTCCCTGCCTCTGCTCGGTGCTCGCGAAGTTGCGGGCGCCTACAAGCTCAGACTCTGGCATCGAGAGCTTCGAACAGGCAGGCTTCCGCGAGGATGATGCTGCGGTGTTGGCGTCGGTCTTGGACGGCTCGTGACCGCGACCACATACGACCGGCTCGCTGGGGCAGCTTGACCGGCGAGGTCGGGTGCAGCGTCGAAGCTCGAGCTTTTCGCGCGTGACCAACAAAGGTTCCCCAGACCCCGTCCGACCTCGCTCGTCGAATCAGGTCAAGGACGGCCGACCTTCGTGCCTTGCCTGCTCGGATGTCCAGATGGTCGAGCTCTGGCGGACAGGCAGGCGGGTTTGCGATCCTTTGACGCTGATTGGATCGGATCAGGGCGCCTGATAACGGACGGACGATTACGTTCGCGCGTTCACCCCGGAGGGCGGGCCTGCCTGTTTGCGGAGCGAGGCGCACGCACGTCGTAGGTAGAGGCAGGTGCGGGAGCAAGGGTGACACGTTGCAGCTGCGTGCGTGTTCTCGGCACAATCCACGGCCTTCAAGGATTGCCGCATTTCGTTCTTCCAAGCAAGGCAGACGCTGGCCGTACGGACAGGCAGGTGGCCGCATCCGCCGCGCAGTTGAGAAGGAAGCAGGCGCGGGGGCGAGTCGAGGGTGGGCGGCCTGGCGGCAGGCAGCGCCCATGCATTTTTCACGCAGAGGGCACGGCAGGGCAGGGCAGGGCAGGGCAGGGCAGGGTGAACGTTGGGCTGGCAGCGTGGGGACGAAGCGGTCGAGTCACATCGCACACGCTGATCTCCGGATTCGACCGACGACCCCCAAGTCACGGCAAACAGGCGGCCCGCTTATCGGCGCTCTCCGTTTTTGCCCGAGCCGCTCGTCCGCTCAGGCTAGGGGTGGCTTCGCCAACAACTCGGCCGGGTCCGATTTCGGATGCATCCCGCAGGTCGCCGCTTTCGCTGCGTCGCACTGCAGGCGCAGCTGCGAATTGGACCTCATCCGGTACCGGCAGCTGCGCATGGCCAGCTCCAATCTGGCCCCGTCGGGACCGCGAGAAAAGCAGACCGGAATTGCGCAGCAAATTGGCTCCTCGCCCGACTCGCTGGCTGCCATCGGTCAAGCAGGCTCTCCGCCGGCTCAAGTCGTCGGAGGAAACTTTCGCGACTCGACTGCACGCACAGAAGCAGATAGCACACGAACAAACCAGCGTCGTGGTCTGGTGGCACGGACGGCGAGAGAGGCGGCGACCATGGCAATGGAAGGGTTCTGATTTCGCAGCGGCACACCTGCACAGAGATGCGCCGCATGTATCGGATTGGACGGGCAACTAGAGTCTGTCTATGGACGGGCGACGGGCGACGGGCGACGGGCGATCAGGCGCGGTGGATCATCGACTCCCGCGCAGGGCCAACGCCGATCCACTCAATCTTGACGCTGAGGAAGCTCTCGATAAAGTCGACATAGTCGCGGCAGGTCTGCGGCAGCTCGTCAAACGTGGTCGCCTTGGAGATGTCGCCCTCCCAGCCGGGCAGCGTCTTGTACTGCACCTCGACCTTGGCCAGCACCTCGAGGTCGGCGGGGAAGCTGGTGAGCTCCTTGCCGTCGACGGTGTAACCGACGGCCACCTTGAGCTCCTTGAGGTTGTCGAGCACGTCGAGCTTTGTCAGGTTGAGGCTGGTGTAGCCGTTGATCAGGCACGAGTAGCGCATCATGACCAGGTCGAGCCAGCCGCAGCGGCGACGGCGTCCGGTGGTGACGCCGTACTCGGCGCCGACCTCCTGGAGGTGGTGTCCGATGTCGTCGGTCAGCTCCGTGGGGAAGGGTCCCATGCCGACGCGGGTCGTGTAGGCCTTCATGACGCCGATGACGTCGCCGATGGCGTTGGGCGGGATGCCCAGGCCGGTGCAGACGCCGCCAATCGAGGTCGAGGAGCTGGTGACAAAGGGGTACGTGCCAAAGTCGATGTCGAGCATGAGGGCGTTGGCGCCCTCGACCAGCACGCGCCGGTTGGACGACAGGGCGGTGTGGATGAAGGTGACGCCGTCGACAATGTGCGGGCGGAGGCGCTCGGCAAAGGCCTTGTAGCGCGCAATCTCGCCCTCGGTGTCGTACTCAAAGTGGCCGTAGCGCTTGAAGCGGCCCTCGACCAGCTTGCGGAACTTGGAGGCAAAGAGCTCCGGGTCGTAGAGGTGGTGGACGCGGAGGCCGGAGCGCGAGGCCTTGGACGAGTAGGCCGGACCGATGCCCTTCTTGGTGGTGCCGATGCTGCTGCCGCCGAGCTCGACCTCCTTGAGGCCATCGACGACCTGGTGGAAGTCGAAGACGAGGTGGGCGCGGTCCGAGATAAAGAGGCGGCCGTCGCAGTTGAGGCCCTTTTTCTCGAGCTTGTCGAGCTCCTCGAAGAACGAGGGGACGTGGACGACGACGCCGGAGCCGATGAAGCCGGCGCAGCGCGGGTTGACGAGGCCCGAGGGGAGCAGGTGGAAGTCAAACTTGGTCTTTACGCCGTTGACGTTGGCCACGATGGTGTGGCCGGCGTTGTTGCCTCCGGCGCAGCGGGCGCAGACGTCCATCTGGGTGCTGAGGACGTCGGCGAGCTTGCCCTTGCCCTCGTCGCCCCACTGGGCGCCCAGCAGGACAGTGGCCTTGCCGCCGCCCTTGGAGTCCGCAGGCTTGGGCATCGCCGCCATGGTGGGCCAAGGAGGACGATCCCGCAAGGGAGCGAGGTGGAAGGGGGGTAGGGTCGATACTCTCCCGGTGTAGCTCGGGGAGAGGTTTCGGGGGAGAGGGAAAGGGGAAGATCCCTTGGGGAGAGGAGGTGGTGATCAATCGATGCCGAGAGATGAAACCAGGAGAGAAGGAGCGGACCAGGCGCGACGGGCGTGGATGAGCGGCCTGCCAGGCTGCCCTTGTGGCACGCACACGCCGCACCCAACGTGGCAGGCAGGAAGGCCCCTTCTTCCCCCACCCTAGGCCTGGCCGGCTCTGCTCTCCGCCGCCTGTCTGCCCCCGACCCACGCGCAAGAAGACGAAAACAAAAACCGTCGGCCTGCCGACTGGCCTGCCTGTGGCCGTTGCCGGTCCACCAGCAGGCTAGGCAGAGCGCAAACCCAGCTCGCTGGCCCGGCCGCAGAGAGGCACGCCAGCAGCGGCGCCAGGCTTTTCCCGAAGACGGCAGGGCAGGGCGAGGGCCTGGCCAGCCAAGCAGGCTCGGCAGTTCCGGCCGGCCGGCTGGCTCGGTCGGCCAGCGACCGAAAAGCGGAAAATTCCGAAAAAGTGACTCGAGGCCCTCGGTTCCGTCCAGGCCGTCTGCAAGTCCACCGGGCGCCCTCACCGTCCAGAGACGTCGCACACACACGGCCCATTCAAACCCCGTGTTTGCCCCTGCCATCCTTTCACCTGTTATGGGTGCAACCAGGGGATGAGGCCCCGCCCGAGCGCGCCCCACGACTGTTAGCCTTTCCGAAAGATGGCTGAGGGATCGTCGATATCTGCGCACGCCCGGCAGCGGGTCTGTCCGCACGGCGAGTAACTCGAGTGTGTCGCCTCCTCTTCGGAGGGGGACCACGATGACCTACGGGTCCGAAGGAGTCGGTCGCCCGAGCACTTCACCACTCGACCCTCAGCTGCACGTATCTTTCGGATCCAAAGGTGGATAGGGAGCACAAAGGTCTCCGCCACCATGGCGGGGCCGGCTTGAAAGCGCGCACGGTAACACCGCCTCAAACTCTTCTTTTTTGTGTACGTTTCTCCCACCCCTCGATCTCCTTCGCCCAACGCCTTCTACGAGGACGACGTACGATGCACACCGCTAGTCGCCGACAGACAAGGGAGCTTCGCACGGCATGTCATGGTTGCAGTGGTCGAGCGAGAGTGAGGCGCGCGCTATATATTACAGGGTCCCTCTGCCACCTAGAAGAAGACGACGGTGCGCTCGACGTCCCACCCGAGCGCGGCGAGCGACTGCCTGACCGCCTTTTCCATCGGCGGCGGGCCGCAGACGAGGGCGAGCGTGTCTTCGAGCTCGTCGCCCTCGCCCTCGCCCTCGCCCTCGCCCTCGCCGGTCCGCCGGGGCGCGGGCGGCAGGTGGGCCTCGAGCGCGGCGAGGTCGACGCGGCCACGCGGCCCGGTCCACTGGTCGGTGGCGTTGCTGAGGTAGTGCGAGATCGTCAGGCGGCCGTCCAAGATGTCCTGAGACTCG